GGATCCTTGCTTCGCTCTCACATTGATGCTTCCCTCTCTCTCTCTCTCTCTCTCTCCTCTCCCCCCCCTTCTCTCTCTAGAATCAACGGGAACATGTCCTCAGGTGAGGACTGAAAAAACAATCCATTCCTGTGAAAAAATACCTTCAGAAAAGAAAGTGAAACCCAGACATTTTAAGACAAAATGTGTTTGTAAGCTCCCCACTGGGTGGAAGGAGGCCACCCCAAGGCCTGGGGCGAGGCAGGGCTGGGAGCCCGGAGCTGGCCCCCCGCTGAGCCACAGCCCCTCTGCTCCTGCCACCCTGTGTGGGCCTGTGTCCCCCGTCACCGTGTTGTGGGGCTGGCTGCTGCTCCGTGCAGGTCTGGGTGCCTCCTGGTGGCCGGGACACACGCTGGGCCCCAGGGTAGAAGGGCCTCAGGAGGTGCCGTCCACCTCTGCCTGGCAACTCCAGGGGCGGACTCCGCTGCCCCCTCCTGGCGGGGGAGGGGTGTGCAGGAGACGCGCTGCTCAGAGCACCCAGCACTGCCCTTCCCAGGGTTGACATCCTGGCTCCTGGCTGGTGGCCACCTGGAGCCCAGACCCCCACCCCCCACCTTGAGCAAACGCAGCTGCTGGACACCTCTCTGTGGTCCCTCTGTCCCCATGCAACGCCCCCCCCACCCCCCCCCCGAGGATAGGGCCCTTTCACCCCGGATGAGGGCACAGCTCAATTTTTGGAAAACTTTTGCTCCCATGAGAAATAAGGCTCATGAATCTCAAAATAGCGTCGCTGCAAACAGCCAGAAGGCCCCGCCGGCCCCGCATGATCTGAAGGGCGATTCTTTCCCCAGAAAACAGACCCCTCGCTGACACGGTTTCTCCGGTCGGTTCTCTCCGTCGCCTACATGCAGCCTTTTCCCCGCGGCCTCCATGCGAGGAGGGGGCTCAGGAGACAAAAGTCGCCTGTCAGCAATATTCCGTCTGCTCTCGCTCCCGGCGGCGACAATGCGGCCATTGTCAGAGCGCTTCCTGCTCCCCGATGGTCCTCTCCTCCGCCTGATGAGGAGGGAGCGTGCCAGGCCCCCAAAGATGGGGGGTCTTCGCTGGAGGGAGCCCCGTGCCCAGGCCCAGGGCCCTGATGGGCATGGGGGGACCCGGGGCCATTAGCAGGTTTTGTGTTACATCACTCGTCCTCTGAGAACAGAAATGTGTTTCCCAGAGAGAAGCCTGGCGCCTGGGTGAACCGGTCAGAGCCCCCGGCCTCCTGGCAGCCCCGCGTAGGCCCAGGGCCTCCCCAGCGCTTGTCGGTGACGGCGATGGCGGGAGAAGTGACCTGAAGTGGCCAGAGGCTCCCCAAGCCACGCTGCGCGGGAAGCTGCACCCCAGGGAGGCTCGGCACCCAGGGGTGGGCCCAGGGCTCTTGTTCCAAGATCCGCTACTGTTTCTTGCCTTTGGTGGCTCCTGGGAGCTACTATTTGGGGACCCCAGGCTTCACTGCCAGAGCATGTTCAGGCCCATTGGGAGGCACTGGAGCTCCCAGAATCCATCTTGATCCATCCATCCATCCATCCATCCATCCATCCATCCACCCATCCATCCATCCATCCACCCATCTATCCACCCACCCATCCATCCACCCATCCATCCATCCATCCATCCATCCATCCATCCATCCATCCATCCATCCACCCATCCATCCACCCATCCATCCACCAATCCATCCATCCATCCATCCATCCATCCATCCATCCATCCACCCATCCATCCACCCATCCATCCACCAACCCATCCATCCATCCATCCATCCATCCATCCATCCATCCATCCATCCACCCATCCATCCACCCATCCATCCATCCATCCATCCATCCATCCATCCATCCATCCATCCATCCATCGTGCAACCCACCCTCCACTCAGAGGGTGTCCCCGCCAGGCTCCAGGGAATGAGATCGCTATCAGGACCCTCACCTGGGTAGCCCGGTCCACTGTGGGGGACGGTTCTTGACTCAGAGGACAGAGGTCCTGGGCGCCGCGTGTCCTGGGCCCGCGATGGCGGCCAGCCGGGAGAAGGGGTTCGCCGCCTGGTTCCTCCCGTGGATGCAGGGCCCAGTCTCCCTCCCATTTTATGAGGAAAACAGAAAAGACGCGGGTCCCTCAGCCTTCACGGCAGCGAGCTGCTCCCGTGTGTGGAGAGCTGCCCTTCGCACACCTGGGAGGGAGGCCACAGGCCAGCCTGCCGGGTGGGGCGGGGGGGGGGGGGGGATAGGGAGAAGGGGGCTGCTTTGTCAGACAGACACTGGCTGTGGGAAGCGCCTCCCCTCCAGGTGTGTCCCCTCCAGGTGTGTCCCCTCCAGGTGTGTCCCTCCCCAGGCATATCCCCTCTGGGCATATCCTCTCCAGGTGTGTCCCTTCCAGGTGTGTCCCCTCCAGGTGTGTCCCTTCCAGGTGTGTCCCCTCCAGGCATGTCCCCTCCAGGCATGTCCCCTCTAGGCATGTCCCCTCCAGGCATGTCCCCTCCAGGTGTGTCCTCTCCAGGTGTGTCCCCTCCAGGTGTGTCATGCCCCTGCCCCTGCCCCATGTTTGAGGAGCCATCCCTGGGTCCTGATTCATCATTTGTCTTTGGAGGTTTAACCATTGGTCAGAGCAGAGTCAGGTGGAGGCCTCGTTCCCTGAGGCAGGTGGGCCTCGGAGAGCAATGCCTGGTACCGGGAGAAGGGGCACCCGGGGAGGCTGGCCTGCTCCCCAGCAGCCTGTCTCCCTGTCCCCTGTCCCCTGTCTGCCTCCTGTGGGGGCGGGCTCAAGTCTGGGTGGAGACGTCCACCCTGAGGCAGGGGCCGGTTCAGGACGAGGCTTAGGGGTGGGCTCCTCCCCGCTTCCGGGAGGAGACATGGTGTCTCCAAGAGGGAGGCCACCGCACCTGGAGGCTACGCTGCCTGGACGGCACATCGGGAGACAGACAGCCCTGGCGGCACCTCGCCCAGAGGCTCCCGCTGTCGCCCAGGCTCTCAGGGTCCTGCTCTCCCGCCTGGTGGGCGCTGGGAGGACGGCTTCGCTGCCCCGGAGCCCGTGCCGGGAACCCCCGGTGAAGGCGGGAGAACCTCGGCACTGCCGTCCGCCGCCCGGGCCGGCCCCGCCCCTGCTCGCCCCCAGTGACGCTCTGGGCACGAGGGTAGAAAAGCACACAGATTTATTGCATATCAATCTCAGTATAAATTCATTGTAGCATCGGAAAGATTACATTTGGAATACAGTCCTATTCTACAGCATTAGCCTCGCATCGGCCACGGCGTCCCGGAAGGACCGTCTCTAACAGGTACGTCCGTCTTTGTCACCAGCATCGCCCGCCCAGAACCCCAGGCTCGGCCCGCGGTTTCCCGGACTCCGCCTCCCGCGTCCTCCGCCTGCGAGGCCCGCACCCGCTCGGAGCCGCCTGGCGCGGGGGCTCGGGCGACTTCAGTAAGTGCATCTACGGAACTTTCCTTCCCAGGGACACGTCACGACCAGACACGATAATGACCGCTACACACCAGCCATGCACACGTCACTGGCAACAGAAGCAATTTACAGTCTCGGACGGGGACGCACACCAGCCTCCTGCTTCAGGGTGGTTTTTCGAACGTGATATGAGAACCAGACATTTACACTTCTTGTTCACACGGTACAGCCTGGAAGCAAAGCAAACGGAACAGAAACGCAGCCGAATCGGAAAGGCAGCGACGGGACGGACGCCGCGGAGGCCGGGTGCCCACGGCGGCTCGGCTCCCCGCCTCGACGGGACAGCGGGGACGCGGCCCCATCAGGGTCGCTTTGTTCACGAGCAAATTGCACACCTGGAGACTCCAGCTGCCTTTCCTTCTTTTCTTTCTTTATTTTCCCAGAAGTGGTGCTGGGGTCAGCGACAGAGAGGACACGACAACGGCTGGAACGGAGGCGGGGAGGAGGCTCCGGAAAACGCGAGGCGGCGCGTCACAGCATCGCTCGCCGCTGCAGACACAGTGCCAGGGCTTTAGGCCCGCTGAGCTCCCCGGCCAGGAGCGCGGCGTCCCGGGCGGCAGTGCAGGGGTGCACCCTGCGGGCGGCGCTGTCCCGCCCCTCCCTCGGGATAGCCTAGTGAGTAGCTCAGTAGATTTCAGACACTTGGGCGGGGGGGGGGGGGTGATGGCGGGGGGAGGGGGGCATGGGGACAGGGCCCAGGGGCAGCGGACCACAATCCAGTGCTTTGAGGCCAACACACGTGGCACGTATCTGGGCAAGTGCTTTGGGAACGCTCACCGAGGAAGCATCGAGATGGAGGAGGCCGAGGGCCCGCGGGCCCACGAGGGAAGCAGCTGAGGCTGGACGGAGCGGCCGGGCCCTGGGCAAACGCATGGCCCGGCTCTGCGGCCACGGGGCTGGCGGGCCCTCAGTCTGCACGACAGGCTGTGCCTTGGCCTCGTGCAGGGAGGCCGCGTGGCCGGGGGGGTGGGGTGGGGGGGGGGTCCCGGGCTCACCCTGTAACAGATCCACGCTCCGGGTGCCCGGGGGCCGGGCTGAGGGACGCGAGGGAAGGGCGAGGAGGCCCCCGCTTCTGAACTTCCACTTCGGGGGTGAGAGTCACCGCCCCCAGGAGGAAGCAGCGGAGGCTGGACGGAGGGTCTCAGGCCTGTCTGACCCCCGGGCCCCAGGGCTCCGGGCACAGAGGGCGCCAGCGGAGACCGTGTGGCAGGGCCGAGGGCACAGGGAGCGACATGCGGCCTGGAGGCCACGCTCCCCACGCACCCACACGGGGACCCAGTGCTCTCTGTTGGGTCCAAAGATGGATTCCCCGAACTGCCAAGTGCTCGGGCCGAGGGGCTGACCGGTCGGGGCCAGCTGGCCTCGCGCTGATCGCGGTCAGGGTCACAGGAACACAGGCCTGAACGTGTGCTGGTTTTGGGGGGGGGGGGCGTTCTTGGGGGGGGGACGGTTACAACACTGAGGAGGGTCGGCCGGAAGTAACAGGACAGTCTACAGAGGCAGGTGGACAGCAGGGGCGACCCTCGGGGTGGACAGCAGGGGCGGCCCTCGGGGTGGACAGCAGGGGCGGCCCTCGGGGTGGACAGTAAGGGTGGCCCTCGGGGTGGACAGCAGGGGTGGCCCTCAGGGTGGACAGTAAGGGTGGCCCTCGGGGTGGACAGTAAGGGTGACCCTCGGGGTGGACAGTAAGGGTGGCCCTCAGGGTGGACAGTAAGGGTGGCCCTCGGGGTGGACAGTAAGGGTGACCCTCGGGGAGGACAGCAGGGGTGGCCCTCGGGGTGGACAGCAGGGGTGGCCCTCAGGGTGGACAGTAAGGGTGGCCCTCGGGGTGGACAGCAGGGGTGGCCCTCGGTGTGGACAGTGGCGCTGTGACGGCTGGGGACACCACTCAGGTGTCCGCCCATCCAAACCGCCTCTTCCACAGCCACCACGCAAAGTAGGCACACACTGCCTTCTCCAGCAGGAAGCATGTAATCGGGGTACAGACACGGGTGTTTCTGAGGGGACTTTTCATGGGGACCCCATCCAGGTGAGGGATGGTGGCAATTCCGAGCCGCACGGGGCAGCCCTGGCTGAGCGGGGCCGGGCCGGTGGGAGGTGGAAGCGGTTGTGTTTGCGAATCCTTGTGCCGGGCCCGGGCCAGCTCTTCTCAGCAGACGCCAGGGCGGCGCTCGGTCTTGCTGCCTCGCGGGGCTTGAGAAGGGGCACCCTTTCCCAGGGACCCGCGGGCTGGGGGCATCTCAGGGGTCTCCCCACCAGGGTCTTGGGGGGCGAAGCCGGGCCCCCGACACCCGCATGGATGACTCTCCGCCCGGGGCCGCTGTGGCGGGCGTGTGGGCACCGGCGTGTGGGCACCGGCGTGCACGCTTCCCGCCCCCCGGGCCAGCGGAGGACACGGCACCGTGCGATGTGCGTCACCCTCACTGCGCCCGCGTTTCTCAGGGCGACTCGCGACTTCTCTCTCTCATGTTGGGACACTATTACTCTTTTTTCTGCCAAACGTTAAAAGAAATAAATAGAACACTTGTCGTAAATGCAAATGCAACTCAAATTTAACAAAAACACATGATTGTCTGGAAAGGGACAGCCGCGCGGCGGGGTTCGCGGGGACGCGGGACTCGGGGCGTGGAGGCTGCCCACGCCCTGGCTCTCAGTCACACAACACACAACCTATTACACGGTTTGGTCCTTCACTGGGTACTTATATTAACATTATTTCTTCACAATAAGAATGTCTAATGCCAAAAAAATACTGTTAAGGAAGAAATAAAATAAGAAACAAATTAGAAAAAAATTACAAGTTATATACAGATTAAGGTCAATTCCATCAGGGAAAAAAATTATTATTTGAACTTGGCCCCTATGGGAATAATTTAAAGCCCATGAGTGGGGAAGTGGACTGGTCCCCGGGAGGGAGGCGCGGCCCCGGCCGGCTGGGCTCTCTGCTGCAGGCCCAGGTTCTGGCTGGACGTCCTCGGTTCTGGAGCCGGTCCCGCCTGCCGGAACCCACGCGGAGAGTGGTGCGGCAGCGAATCCTGAATCTGCGCTCTCAGAAGCACGCGGGGCGGCCTGGTGGCCGGCGCAGGGAGCGGGTGTGTCCCCCACGGCGGCCAGGGGCGCCCCCGCCTTCTGCCCGCGCCCGTCTGACGGGGCGGAGGAGGTGGCCTGCAGACCGGAGGCGGCCAGCAGGCCTGCCTTCTGAAGAGCAGCGGTGGGGCCGGCCCGGTGGCCGAGGACAGACCGGGAGGAACGCAAGCTGACCGGCCCACCTCTCCAACCTTCCCACATAATTGGGGGGTCTGAGGAGGAGCTGCCTGCGGGCCACGGGCACGGATCACATGTCACACAATGACAGGCACATGTCCCAGTCCCAGCCTCGGGCGGCCTGGGACACGTCTCAGAATCCTTGTTGCAGTCTGAACTGGCTCACAGGCGTGGCCCGGTGCCCGGCCCGCCCGCCGCCACCAAACTACGTTGGCTTTACAAAGAGGGTCGAGGACAGAAAACCTCCCCGTTCGCTACAGTACAGAGGCCGAGCGCAGCCGGTGCGGGCCAGGAGGGCGTGGCTTTGCCAATAAGCTCAGGTTCCCAAGCGATGCAAAATTACTTTTACAAAACAATCTGCAAGTCCTTTTTCAATTTCTTTTTAAAAAATACTGTCTATTATTAAAACCACATGCTTAAATAGACTCTGTCGTCAATAAGGTTACCAAAAGGGCTGTTCTCGTCATTTTCACTATAAAAATCGTGTGGGCCTCCCCTCCGCCGGGCACCCCGGGTCTGCCCTCTCCTTCCGGCCCCGAGCGGCCCCGGCTTCAGTGCGGGAGGAAGTGCCGCCGGTGCCCGCCGGGCTGTGCTGCCAGGCCGTTCCGTGCGCCGCGCCCACGGCCGTACGCCGGGCTGTCCTGATGGTGCCCTCGAGACCGGTTCTCAGAGACATGGGCCCGACGACCTCAGGGACTTCGGCTTCTGGGTTTCCATTGGGAAAGCGGGTGAGACCAGGGGCAGACACCGAGGAGCCGTCGGATGCAGGGGCGAGGGTCTCCCTGGCCGCGGGCCGCGCAGGCTCCTGAGGCCTCGCTGGGATTTCTGTCGCGATGTGGGGCCCGAGGTCACCTCGCGAGCCCCAGCCCGCCGGGCCGGTCAGAGGTGGTTGATGGGGTTAAAGGCTCCAGCCTCGGGCGTGGGTCCTGTGATGCTCAGCCATGCATCCAGGGGGCTCTGGGCGGAGGCGCGGAGAGGAGGGTCCTCGGAGACGGACAGCATCATTGCGTACGCCTGGCAGGGGAAGATACGCGACACAGGCGGCAGGTGAGCCGTAGGACCCCGGCAGGCTCCGTCCTCGCCCCCTCCCGCCTCCCACCGCCTTGGCCCACTCAGACCCACACGGGAGGAGAGAGGGCCGGCACCAGGGCCCGGCCCATGGAGGCCAGATTCCCCCAGCCAGGCCTGGATGAGGGAGACGGGAGGCCGCAGCGGGGAGCTCGGACGCCATGGCCCTGGCAGAGGGGTCCCTTGGCCTCCTGGGGTGTTCCCCCTGCAGTCACCTCCTCTACCCCTTTTCTCCGCCTGGTGACCTGCAAACCCGTGGGCAAGTGGGCACTGTGGGGACCCTGGAGGTGCCAGTGGTCATCGCTAAGACCCCGTCTGCAGTCAGGCCCTGCCCAGGGGACGCCCGTGGGGACAGGCGGTGCATGAGGACACGAGCGTGCTCAGTCCCAGGGCACCTTCTGCTGTGAGCCACGGGGTGCGAGCTGGTGGGGAGTCAACACTGGACAGAATTAGTAAAAAGACACAGACAGACACACAGACGGTTTTGCTGAGACTCGGGAGCTGCAGAGCTGACTGAGACCCTCTGGCCTCCAGACGGGAGGCGGGTTCTGTTCTGCGGCCGCTACACTCGGGAACGGGCCCCAGCCAAGCCTGGGTCCTCCCTGACCCGGTCAGGGCTCCAGCGCGGACCTGTGCCCCCGCAGGCAGCTGGCTACGATGGAACCTGGCTCTGTCACTCTGGCAGGTCACAGAGGGCGGGAGGCAGGGCAGCCTCACCTGGGAACCTGCTTGCGGTACTGCCTTCTGGGGATGAGAGGACAGTGACCTCCATGTCCCTGAGTGTCCTGTCCAGGTCCTTCTGCTCTCAACCCTCCCTCCCCACTGCTGCTGCAGGGACGTGCCGGTTGCTGGGGCGTCTCTTTAGCCAATGCCATGGGCACGGGCGGGCCAGGGGGTCCTGGGCCCCCAGGCAGGCCGGGGGTGGCCATGCGAGAGGTAAGGCTGGCCCTGCCTCGCCTGGGGAGGTGGGAGGGCTCTGCGGGTACCTACCTGGTTCTTAGCCTGCCTGTACAGGGTCTGTTTTAAAGCCTCAGAGTCTAGGGTGGAATTAAGCACATCTTTAACTTCAAACGCTTCCTCAGCTGCTCTGCGCAGGTCCAGCCCCTTCCCAAAAGTCGGCATCGGCTCCAAAGCTAAGAGACCGCCCGCCGGCGGCCCAGCGCACCTGCACCAACCGGAGAGGCCTGTGAGCCGCGGCCTCGGCCCTGACGCCTGCATGCACATGACGGACACGTGACGCCACGGGTCTCCACGAGCCACATGCACAAGACAGACACATGGACACACGGACACCAGGACGGAAGCCACACGGACGCAGGAAAGCACGGACAGAGGACCACAGAGCGGGTAGTACACGCACACGTGTTGCAAGCAGCAGGCGGGGCATCCAGGCTTCCAGGGACAAGGACATACGGGAGGCCTTGGTTCCCGAGTCTGGGCAGCTGGGGGGGCTCAGGACTCCAGTCCCAGGACCCGGGGGGGGGGGGTGGCTGTCTGTGGAGGGACTCCTCAGCTCTCAGGGGCTCCTGGAAGCTGGCACTGCCTGTTGCCAGGGGCGTGGCCAGCACTCGGGATGCAGGGGAAGGGGCTCTGGTTGGCACAACTTCCAAAACTACGGGGTTCAGCCTCGGCGCCACAGCGCCCGCGGGACGCTGGACGGCACCCCCAGGCGACAGATACCATGTGGCTCTGCGGCTGGACCAGCTCGCTCTGTGCCTTCCCCTCCACTCTTCTCCCAGGCCTCTCGATGTGCATGCACACACATGAGTGTACGTACATGCACGCATATGTCCACACACGTGTTTGCACACATGCACACATATGCACCTTGTGTGTGCACATGTGCGTGTTTGCGGGTATGCACATGTGCTAGTGCATGCACACGTGCACAGGTCTATGCATGTGTCTGCATGTGCACGTCTGCATATGTTTGCATGTGTGCATGTGTGCACGCACATGTTTGCATGTGGTGTGTGTGTGAGTGGCTGGGCCTGGCTCCCCCCAGGCCGGGGCTCTCCCTGGCCTACGTGCAGAAGCCCCCGTGGTAGAGACCCTCAGGGAGGAGGGGCCAGCAGGGAGGGGGAGGCTCGCTGCAGGTTTGGGAGTGAGTCCTCCCTGGCTGGGCCCGGCTCTCTCAGCTGCCCGGCCGTGGCCCGGAGGCCGGCACCCACCTGCGGGTGTGGTCGAAGCCCACGGCCAGGGAGGCGGGGGGCTCCTCGTCCTCCTCATCCTCGTAGGCGCCCTGGGGCTCGGGCGCGGGGGACACGTTGTCGTCCTGGGACTTCCCCGCAAGGCTGTCATCGTCCTCCTCCTCCAGCTCCTCCTCCTCCTCCTCCTCGCCGTCCTCCGGCTTCCCGCTGGCCAGGCCTGGGCACGGCGCGGTGCCGTCCAGCTCCTGGACCTCTGGCCTGAAACGGCACGGGAGGGAGTTGGCCACCGACTCCCAAAGGCCGGTGACTCAGCTCTGGTCAGCTCTCCCCCGCTGCACCCCGACCCTCCCAGCCCCCCTGGAGAGCGTGCCTCTGTGGCCCAGATCCCTGAGCTGTGGGCCTGGGCTGTCCCTGCCTGGTCCCAGTCTGTCCCTGTGGGGTGAGTGACTCAAGAAGAGGAGGATGCCGCTAAGCGAGTGGCCGGGGACGGGCAGGGCCCCTCCCTGGCAGGGCTCCCAGCAGAGTGGACACTGTGTGTCGGGCGCCATGGCCGGCCTGGGGCTGGGCCAGGGTCCGGCGGGCACAGGAGACGTCGGGGAGGGTTGCGGCCCAGCCCGAAGGTGCTGCGCCTCCAGCCTTGGGGACTCAGGACGTGGGACGGCCCAGGGCCAGGGACCCCTCAGCGGATGGCGTTGGGTCCCGGGGTTCTGTGGATGGTGTTGGATTCCGGGGTTCTGCGGGGGCGTTGGGTCCTGGGGTTCTGCGGACGGCGTTGGGTCCCGGGGTTCTGCGGACGGCGTTGGGTCCCGGGGTTCTGCAGGGGTGTTGGATCCTGGGGTTCTGTGGACGGAGTCTCAGTCCCAAGGTTCACTGGACAGTGCCTGGGTCCTGGGGTTCAGTGGACTGAGTCTGGGTCCTGGGGTTCAGTGGACGGAGTCTGGGTTCTGGGGTTCAGTGAACGGAGTCTGGGTCCCGAGGTTCAGTGGATGGTGCCTGGGTTCTGGGGTTCAGTGGACAGTGTTGGGTCCTGGGGTTCAGTGGATGGAGTCTGCGTTCTGAGGTTCAGTGGACAGAGTCTGTGTTCTGGGGTTCAGTGGACGGTGTCTGGGTCCTGGGGTTCAGTGGACAGTGTTGGGTCCCGGGGTTCAGTGGACGGAGTCTGGGTCCCGGGGTTCAGTGGACGGAGTCTGCGTTCTGAGGTTCAGTGGACAGAGTCTGGGTCCTGAGGTTCAGTGGACGGTGTCTAGGTCCCGGGGTTCAGTGGACGGAGTCTGCGTTCTGGGGTTCAGTCAGCGGCAGACCCGCCGGGACAGGTTTGCCTGAGACAAGTCCCCTGACGTGCGGGCCCTGGGCCCCTCCAGCCCGGGTGGGGCTTCACTGTGGGCCCCGTGACCACAGGCAGAGGGAGCGTGGGGCGGGCGTGAGTCCTCGCTTCCCTCAGGCCTGGGTTCCGCTCGTCAGGAAGCCCGTGACGGGGTGCAGGGGCAGGAGGCCCCAGGTGTCCAGCACGCGTGCAGGGAGGCGGCGGGCAAGGCGCTCGCTGGCTGAGCCCATGCCTGACCTGAGCTCCGGGCTTCCAGAGCCTGCACCTCCTGGACCCGCAGGGCCGACGGGAATCCGTCCACTGGGCCAGGGACACGGTCCTCTCTCAGCATCCGGCAGGCGGGCCTCCTCCCCAGTGACCTCTGACCTCCAACAGGGCAGTTCTGGGGCTCGCCCTTGTGCTGGGGACCGACCGTGTGCCCTGGCCTGTATGTCTTCATTCCTCGTTGTCCCGTGAGGAGAGGGATTCTGACAGCTGACCCGCCTGGGGGAGGGGGGTGGGCCCAGCGTGTTTCCTTGTCACTGGGGACCCGTGTGGGCATCGGGGGCGCGCCCATCCCACCGTGACGGGGGTGGGGGGTGGCGGCCCTCGGACCAGGTGTTGTGGCCAACAGCGTCCTGTCTCCTTGTGGGCTCTCTGCGGGGCCCTTGGGGGGTCCTGGCCCCTCGAGCCCTGTGCCCTCTCAGGGACGTGAGACCCCACCCCCCACCCCCACGCTGAGGACGCGGTGAGCAGGCGGGCAGCTGCGGGCACCGGGAGGCGGAGCATGTGCAGCCCGCAGCCTTGTGTGTCCTTCCGTGGAACCCGCCCGCACCGGGCACGTTTCCATGTGGCGTCTCTGCCCGGGGCCGGGGACCACCTCTTCACCTGTGTGCCCTCCCCCCGAGGATCTGCTCGTTGGCAGGTGGCCCGCACCGGGTGGGGTGCTCCTGAGGGCCCAGCGGGCACTGTGGGGGGCCCTGGTGCCCGCTTCAGGCAGAGAGGCCACGGGACACGCGTGCAGGCCTCCAAACTGCTGCCCGGGGCGCGTGCCTGTCCCTGGGGCGGCCGGGACACAGCCCACGGCCGGACATCAACAATGGGACCTTCTCTCCTGGTTCTGGAGCTGGCGCCCAAGGTCCAGGTGTCACGGGCTGGTCCCTCAGGCCGTGAGGGGGACCCGGCCCAGGCCCCCGCTCCGGGTGGCTGCCCGCATCCTCGGCCTGTAGACCCGCCCCCTCTCTCTGCTCCGTCTTCACGTGACATCCATCCTATGTGCACGTCTGTGTCCAAATCTCCCCCTTTACAAGGTCCCCAGTCACATGGGATGAGGGTCACCCAACCCCAGTGCGACCGCATCTTCCCCATCAGGTCACGTTCCGAGGCTCCTGCGGGCCAGGCCTCCAACAGAGGGACCTGCAGGGGCACCGTCAGCCGTGAGGCCGGGACCCCCGGTGGGGCCTGAACTCCCCGACACCCAAGGGCAGTGGTGCCGAGTGAGGACCACCCGTTCACACCGGCCCCACGGATCTGCCAGGGGCCCCGCACTTGAGGGATGTACGTTGACCGAGACCCTGGTTCCCACTTTCAACAGTGACGTGGGGCACCTCCAGCCAGGGCTCGGGCTCCCTGAGCCGGGCGGTCCGAGAGCCTGGTGTGTGGCTGGCTCTGCCCGGCTCTCTGGGGACTTGGGCAGCCTCCTCCGTCTGAGCCTCCCTCACTCCCCTGCCCTGAGCAGCAGGAAAGCCCTGGCGGACGCGCATGCCAAAGTCAGGGGGTAGGATGGCACCCTGGGAATCCCGAGGGCAGGAATCCTCTCCTGGGCACTGTCCTCACCCGCTGGGGGTGGACGGGGGCCCTGGGCCCAGGGACGGTAGAGCTGCAGCCCACCCGTGGCCACCATGGCGGCCAGTGCCCTGGGCCTGGCTGTGTGGCGGGAGCCAGGCGCCCCACTCCTCTGGGCCTCAGTTTCCCCTCTGAGGAACTAGGGGATCGCACCCCGAGGCCTCTGGGAGTTGGCCGTGTCTCTGGTTCTCGGACGCCCGGTCTGGCACCAGCCGTCTCCCAAGGAGCAGCTCTTCCTGGGGTCGGAGGTCCTTTGGGGCGGGGGGGGGGGGCAGTGCCACGAGCGGAGCCCCGTGAACGGGGTTGTGCAGACACCCTCCTCCTTCTTGAACCCGAATCCTCCATTTTTCTGCCGCTGCTGGTGTGTGTCTGTGTGTGCGTGCTCACGTGTGTGCGTGTGCATGTGTCTGTGTTTAAGGGGCAGCACTATTGTTCGGAAACCTTCAGTGCCTGGGGCTAAACAAGCGTCCCCGAGTCTCAGGCGGCGAGGGCCGTGGTGGTCTCCCGCACTGCTGACACTTGGTCGCACACGTGTGAGCGCCAAGGCCATGCCGCGTCCGGGGGAGAAACAGGTGGGGGGAGCCCTTGCTGACACTCCCCAGCTTCCAGGCGGCAGAGCTGGGACGGAATGGGATCTGCTGCAGAGCCCTGGGTCCGGCCCGGACAGGAGCGGGGGGTGGGGGGGCTGCTCTGGGCTCAGCCGCACGGGGGGCCGGGCGCCCACACAGCCCCGGGGCCCGGCAGGGGCTTCTTACCGTGTGTCTGTTCGCGCCGACACCTGGCTCATCTCGCTGTTGGCGATGAAGTTTCTGATTTCAGAGAAATAGGAGTCTTCCTTCTCGTCTAAAAGTGCGTGGGTGTCCGACTCAGAGGTGGGGGAGGAGGTGCTGGTCCCCAGGTGGTTCGTGAGGACCCCGGAGTGCTGGCTCACTGCGTGGAGGGGGATGGGGGGCCCTCAGCTGTACCGCTCCGCTCCCCACTGCTCCTCTCCCCCCTCATCGCCCCATCATTCAAGTTCTACCCACCCCCCACCCTCGTTCCAGAACCACCTCCCGGGGCTGCCTGCAGGCGCGCACCTGGGGTCTTCTCGCCTGGGCCTGCTCCCCTGGGGCGTGTTCATCTGGGAGTGCTCACCTGGGCTGTGCTCCCCTGGGAATGCTCACCTGGGCTGTGCTCCCCTGGGGGTGCTCCCCGGGCTGTGCTCCCCTGGAGGTGCTCCCCTGGGGGTGCTCCCCTGGGAGTGCTCCCCTGGAGGTGCTCCCTGTGCTGTGTTCCCCTTGGCTGTGCTCCCCTGGGGGTGCTCCCGGGCTGTGCTCCCCTCCGGGTGCTCCCGGGCTGTGCTCCCCTGCGGGTGCTCCCGGGCTGTGCTCCCCTGGGGTGCTCACCTGGCGCGTGCTCGTGCTCGTGTTTCTTCAGGTGCCGGTCCAGGTTGGTCTGCTGCCCGAAGCAGCGGCTGCACAGGTGGCACTTGAAGGGCTTCTCCTTGTTGTGGATGTTGCGGACGTGCCGCTGCAGGTTGGAGGAGATGCTGAAGGACCGGTCGCAGTACTTGCACCTGCAGGACACACACCCTCAGAGGCGGCCCCGCAGCCGGCGGCCCCGCCCCGTGGTCCTGAAGGTGGGCACGGCAAGGCTGTGCCAGGAGCAGGTATTCGACCTTGACCTGCGGGCAGCGAACCATGTTGGGGTGTGCCCTAGCTGGAGGAGGGGGACCCGGTGGGGCCGTGCCCCTGGGTGTGCAGAGCCCAGACTCCCCAGCGTCTGCGTCCTCCCGGTGCTGGGTCACCCAGCTCGGTGGCCTCCCGCCTGGCAGGTCCACCCACAGGGCGACGTGCTCCCAGCCGCCTCAAGGGGGCAGCATCTCACCATGGAAAGACGCTCAGCTGGTCCAGGGAAGGGGGGCCAGTAGACAGCCCCCCGCAGACCCCCACCTGGTGCGGGGCGAGGAGAGTGGGGTCCTCGGGCTAGTCCCCCCCACCCCCCGGGCCCTGAGCTCGCTGCTCCATCGGTTGGGGGTGGGGGCTCCCAGCCTTGTGCTGTCAGGCTGCTTCCTCTGCAGGGACCACGATGACCACACGGTCCCCTTTGACTGGGGGGCAGCCCAACGGTCAGCTCATCTGTGTGCCCCGTGGGCCCCACCTGCAGCCCGCGCGGTGCAGGGGCTTCTGCCGCGCCCACCAGAACATTCCACTGACGCCCCTTCTCCGAACCCCGCGCTCACTGAGGGGGAACAGCCGTTTTGCACCAGCGGAGGCACCTGTGAGTGACGCCCCCGTGGGTGTGGAGCCCTCGGGTGGGGCCTGGCCTTCACGCCCACTCTCACGACCCCCATACAGAGGGCGAAACAAGAGCTAGTGATGTGAGCGTGGAGAAGCAAGACACCCCGCCAGACACAGGGAGAGAGCCAGGGCCCCAGAGGGTGACCGAGAAGTCACCATGCTGCCCCTCCTGGTGGTGGAAGACCAAGCAAGGCCGGTGACGGACAGGTGCTCCCACCTGCACTGTGTCCAGCTAAAGCTGCACACGGTGTGCATGTGCATGTGTGTGCACACGGTGCACGTGTGTTATTGTGTACACACGTGCCCATGCACACGTGGGTGCACATGTCAGCGTGTACATGCGTGCCAGCGCACATTCTGGTATGTGTGCGTGTGCAGACATGTGTGCACACAGTCCACGTGTGTTAGTGTGCACACGTGCATGCACATGTGGGCATGTGTGTGTGTGTAGTGTGGGTGCATGCACACATGTGGTGCATGTGCACACGGGCACAAACAAGTGCCCGGTCTTTGGAACTCGGCCAGGGACCCTGTCAGTCTCTCTCTGTCCGACGGTGTCAGGCTCCCACGGCAGCCCTGCTCCTTAGGCGGCTGCTCAGGAAGGACAAGTGCAAGGCCAAGCTGGCCCAGCCCGGGTCTGGGCACTCACCCCCTGCCCACCCAGCAGGCGTGCAGGCTGAGCTGTTCCCGCCCCGGTCTGCGCTCGCTCACACGGCGCCCCTTTCCTGTCTCTGTCAACAAGTCCCTGGAGGGCAGCGTGGGACCTGGAGAAGCGGGGTCCCGAGTGAGAACGAGGCTGCAGGGCGCGGGTTCCCAGGCAGGAGGTCAGGACCTCGTGGGATCCTCCCTCCGGCCTCTGGGGAGCCGGGAGGGTGGGTGGCCAGGCCCTCCGTGGCCATAGAGTCCCGAGTGGCCTCCGAGTTCTAATCTCAGGAAATGGCCCAGACCAACAAGCCTGTCTGAGAGTTAGGGGAGCGGCAGCCCAGGGCTCCGGGGCAGGGCCTGCGAGCAGCTGGGATTTGCCTTGTAAATAAACTGACAAGTGGCGACTGAAATTTATGGCCGCGCCGCATAGAATAACAACACCACTGCGCCCGCCAGGAAGGAGCAGATGGTGGCCACAGTGGCGGGCGGGGAGGGCCTGCAGGGGACTTTGCCATGACTGTGCCCGTGCCACTGCAGGGAATGCAGGAAAGCCAGCCGGGGACACAGCGAGGGACCGGGGGTGGGGGGGGGAGGAGGGCGTGGAATGGCCCCGGGCAGCGTCCCACCCCACACAGGGCCACACCCCAGGGAGAAATGCTGTCGGTAACTGTCAAGAAAGGGACAGAGAGATTCTGAAAGCCAGCCCTAGTACTCAGCTAAGGTAGGAAGGAGAGACCCAGCCCTAATATTCAGATAAGGAGGAAGGAGGGACCCAGCCCTAGTACTCAGCTAAGGGAGAAGGAGAGACCCAGCCCTAGTACTCAGCTAAGGAGGAAGGAGGGACCCAGCCCTAGTACTCAGCTAAGGGAGAAGGAGAAACCCAGCCCTAGTACTCAGCTAAGGAGGAAGGAGGGACCCAGCCCTAGTGCTCAGCTAAGGGAGAAGGAGAGACCCAGCCCTAGTACTCAGCTAAGGAGGAAGGAGAGACCCAGCCCTAGTACTCAGCTAAGGGAGAAGGAGAGACCCAGCCCTAGTACTCAGCTAAGGAGGAAGGAGAGACCCAGCCCTAGTACTCAGCTAAGGAGGAAGGAGAGACCCAGCCTAGTACCAGCTAAGGAGAGGAGAGACCCAGCCCTAGTGCTCAGCTAAGGGAGAAGGAGAGACCCAGCCCTAGTACTCAGCTAAGGGAGGAAGGAGAGACCCAGCCCTAGTACTCAGCTAAGGGAGAAGGAGAGGCCCAGCCCTAGTACTCAGATAAGGAGGAATGAGGGACCCAGCCCTAGTACTCATCTAAGGGAGAAGGAGAGACCCAGCCCTAGTACTCATCTAAGGGAGAAGGAGAGACCCAGCCCTAGTACTCAGCTAAGGGAGGAAGGAGAGACCCAGCCCTAGTACTCAGCTAAGGGAGGAAGGAGAGACCCAGCCCTAGTACTCAGCTAAGGGAGGAAGGAGAGACCCAGCCCTAGTACTCAGCTAAGGGAGAAGGAGAGGCCCAGCCCTACTACTCAGATAAGGAGGAATGAGGGACCCAGCCCTAGTACTCAGCTAAGGAGGAATGAGGGACCCAGCCCTGGTACTCAGCTAAGGAGGAAGGAGTGACCCAGCCCTAGTACCCAGCTAAGGGAGAAGGAGAGACCCAGCCCTAGTTCTCAGCTAAGGAGGAAGGAGGGACCCAGCCCTGGTACTCAGCTAAGGGAGGAAGGAGAGACCCAGCCCTAGTACTCAGCTAAGGGAGAAGGAGAGGCCCAGCCCTACTACTCAGATAAGGAGGAATGAGGGACCCAGCCCTAGTACTCAGCTAAGGAGGAATGAGGGACCCAGCCCTGGTACTCAGCTAAGGAGGAAGGAGGGACCCAGCCCTAGTACTCAGCTAAGGGAGAAGGAGAGACCCAGCCCTAGTGCTCAGCTAAGGAGGAAGGAGGGACCCAGCCCTGGTACTCAGCTAAGGAGGAAGAAGGGACCCAGCCCTAGTACTTAGCTAAGGGAGAAGGAGAGACCCAGCCCTAGTACTCAGCTAAGGGGGGAAGGAGAGACGCCTGGCCCGGCACGGGTGTGGGGCTTCACGCAGATGCAGGACGGGAGCCCAGGAGGAGCCGGACTGAAGGTGGTAGGCGTGTTTCCTGGGGCGGGAATCCCAGGTCCCCCCAGGCCAGGGCAGCCTCGGAAGCTCGCCTCCACCGTGTGACTGAAGGTCCCACCGGCACCAGGACGGGGAAGAAGGCAGCCCTCAGCCCTAATTCAGTCTTTTTGTTGTTGTTAATCCTCACCGGGTCATTTTCCCACTGATTTTTAGAGAGAGTAGGAGAGAGGGGGAGAGACCAGATGTGAGAGAGACACATCGATGGGTTGCCTCCTGCACGCCACCTGACCAGGGCCGGGCCGGGGAGGAGCCTGCAACCAAGGTACGTGCCCTTGGCCGGAGTTGAACCCGGGACCCTTTGGGCTGCAGGCCAACGCTCTACCCACTAAGCCACACCGGCCAGGGCTCTAATTCAGTCTTTCTGTCCCTCCATCCTCATCTCAACAAGGCCTGCGCACGGAGCCGCAAGGACAGGGTCTCAGGCTCCTTCCTTCCCACCGCGCTCTGACCAGGAGACGCCGCCAGCCGAGGGGCCGGCTTGGCCTGGACCAAGTCTCCCCTCCCCTCCAGGCAGCGTGTCAGTCACAGGAGAACGTGCCTGTCCTCCCCGTGCGCAGGCTTTGGCCGCGGCCGGAGTCACTTTGGATGGCCGGGGCGCGGACTTTAAAGGCAGCGGTCAGCGCTGTGTAGCGGAGCCATTGGGTCATGCGCAGCCATGAGAAGCCGACGGCGAGGGGCCGTCTGCTGGCCTCCCTGGCGCGCACACCATGGGGTGGGGTGCTCATGTAGGCGGGGGGCGGGTGGAGGTTTACTCAGCCTCCCAGGGCGGGGGGGTCCCCCTCTTTGGCAGATTTCTGAGGCCGAATGTGCGCATTTCCCTTTTCCCACTTAAAGCCTCCCAGTGATCAAAGGGGGCCCGGAACCCCGCGATGTGGCAGGAAGTCACCCCCGGGCCCCTCATCACAGGGCCGCCTTGCGCCCGAGAAAGTCAAGATCCGCAACGCGAACTTTCCAAGCAATCATTGCTCCGTAAGTTGAACCTCACAGATTGAGGTTCAGAGAACAAAAGAAATCAATGATCATCAAATGTTTCTATAAACACGGCCCGGCCCCCGGGGGCTTTTACACGGAACACGGTCCGGAAACCGGCTCGCGTTACACAAAGACCCGGGCGGCAGGCATCGGTCCAGCCCTCCCGCTGCTCTGGCCTTCGCCAGGGCACCCGCTTCTGGGCGGCGGGGCCTGTGCTGGGCGCTGGGTGCTGCCACACAGGCGGTGAGCAGGGCGAGCTGGCCTTTCTCCCGCCAGGACGCGACCTGGCCCTGTGGTGGCTGGGGACGCGCGTTACGTCCAAGGGTGGGCGTAGGGACCACGATACCTGCAGGGCCCCATGTGGCCACCTCCCCAGGGATAGGGACACCCACACACACAGCTCAGTCTCCAGGGCCAGGGGTGACGCGGCTCAGAGTAGCCAGATGTGGGAACCTTCTGTCACCAACTTCCAGCCGTGCCAGCTCCCTACTCCCAACCGCTGCCTCTCAGGCCCCCAGCGCGATGCCGGGCAGTGAAACCAGCGGCTCCCAGTGCGCTCCAGGCCGCCAGCACCGTGGCTCTCGTCTGAAATGCTGGCCCCGGGCCCCTTCCCGGCTGGGTTCCTAAAAGCCAGGGTCCCCTGCAGCCCGCTCGTGCCCCGGGAAGGCCCAGGGCCCAGGACCAGGTCGGTGAGCCAGCGAGGCACTCGGTTCAGATGTGGCCTCGGACCCCCGGCAAGTCACGGGGTGTCCCTGAGCGCCGGGCTCCAAGCCTTTGAGAGGAAGGTGGTGCCCTACTTGTTGTAGACACCCCTGCTGTGCTGTGTGGCCGCGTTGCTGCCCAAGAACTGGGGCGAGGTGGGGACTGGACGCACAGGTCTGTCCAGGGCCCTAAGGGGACTCACGCAAGTCCCTGGGGTGCCCCGGCCTGGCTGGGACCTGCATTTGCTCAGAGCTCTGGTCCACGGTCCGCTGCCAGGGCACCACCCTGGACTAGGGTCAGGTCAGCCACAGCCATTGGCCATTGGTCATCGGGAGTGAACGAGGCTGGGCTCGGGTGGGGGGATTCGGCTGAGGCTTCGCCGACAGACTGTCCTGGGGCCCTGGATCCTGGCAGGCCCTGCTCTGAGCCCCGCCCAGCGGAAACACCAGAGGATGGAGGGCTGCCGCTGGCATCGTCCTCCGGGGGCAGGTGGGAGCCTCCAGAACCTGCTGGGCAGGGGCGCCTCCTGCCTGATCTGTACAACGTCCCAGGGCAGGATGGCGGGGGGTCAGGAGGGGGCCCGGGAGTGACCAGGAGCACACGCTGGTCCCACCCACCCCACGCGGCTCTCACCTGTACGGCTGCTCCCCGGTGTGCGTCCTCAGGTGTCGCGTGAGGTTCGCAGATCGGGGGAAGATCTTCCCGCAGTACCTGGGGGTGGGAGGCCGTCAGGAGACCCAGGGGCCAGATGCTTCCTGGCGCAGCCCCCCTCAAACTGGGCACCTAGTCCCCCCCAGCTCCTCCCCCGGGGCAGGTGGCCAGCTGCACAGCCTGCACTTCAATGTCTCCTGCAGCCCATTGCCCAGCTGAGCTTTACAGAGAAGCCACTAGCGGATGCTGGGGCCTCCGGGCCGGCTCCCTCCTCAAACATCATCTCAGCCCGGAGCCCAGGGTGCCGTGCTGGCTGAGACCGGCTGGGACCGGCTGGGACCGGCTGAGAAAGGCAGGTGCCGCAGGGGACAGACACAGTGGTCTCTTCCCCAGGCTGGGGTGGGAGTCCCCACCCAGAGCCGAAGTTCAACCTCGCGCAGCCCTGGCCTCTGCCTCTGGGATTCCCGCTGCCCGCCTGGCCGGCAGCCACTTTCTGAGCTCGTACAGCTTGGGGGGAGGCAGCGGGGAGGGGTGGGGTCTACCCCAAACAAGAACATGAGGATCACGGACCATTTATTGCTGCGCTGCTGCCGGTTGTGACTGGGGTTTCCCTGGAAAAGCAGGGCCACGGGCTGGGCCGTGTCACCTGTGCCCCCCCTCCCCGGCCCCCAGGGCGCCCACCAGCCCAGGGCCTCGGGGAGGCTCACCTGCAGGTGTAGCGCTCCTTGCCCTTCCTGAGGATGGGGTCGGAGAGCGTGGGGGGCGGGGAGCGGAAGTTGAAGGGGTGGTGGGGCAGGGGCTGCAGGGCGCTGGAGTCCGCCTTCATGGCTGCGAAGCTCTCCAGCTTCTCCGTCATGGTCTCAATGGCCGACATCTGTTGGCGTGAGAACGGGAGAGGCTGGGGGACTCCCCGGAGCCACCCCCTCTCTTTGACTTTTTTTTTTTTTTTGGTTAATCCTCACCCGGGGATATTTTTCCATTGGTTTTTAGGGAGAGAGGGAGAGAGAGGGGAAGACAGAGAGAAGCACTGATGTGAGAGAGACTCAGCGATTGGTTGCCCCCTGCCTGCACCCCAACCAGGGCCCGAGTGGGGAGGAGCCTGCAGCCAAGGTACATGCCCTTGACTGGAATCGAACCCGGGACCCTTTGGTCCTCAGCCCGATGCTCTATCCACTGAGCATGCCGGCCAGGGTCCACCCCTCTCTTGAAGCGTGGGGACCCACCCATGGGTGTCGGGTCCTCAGTGACAGAGCACGGCAGGGCCAGGCCGGGACGAGAGGCCACGCGGGCCTCAGGCCGTCACTGGAACCAGATATCCCGGCGTCTCCTCGGCCCTGGGCTGGATTCGTCCACCGACCGCGGCCCCAGCCCTGCCCTGGTCCTTCCCCAGAGCCCCCATCACCGTCTGGGGTCCCGGCTGCGGGAGCTGGAGCTGACCTGTCCCCGCCCTGCCTGGCGTGGGGACCCAGTGAGGCGGACTGTGGACACGGGCCATCACCCCCCCCCCCCTGCCCCCCCGATGCTGACACCTGCTGGCCTGACCCCTGGCCATCACTCCTGACTGTCCAGTTTGGGTTAAAGACAAAATTATATCTTTTATTTATTTATTTATTTTTTTGAGTCTTGAAAAATTAAGACAGTTACTTGAGTCTCTAGGGATCACAGGGATCAGGACCTCAGGCGCCACCACCCCTAGTGGCGGGAGGCCATCATTGCAGGCGACGTACTAGAAAGAACCCACAGCTGAGAGTGGACCTCACTAACCCAGTGGCCAGGATGAGTGCCGGTGCCACACGGCCCAGGACACGGGGGCACGGGCCGAGGAGCTGCCTCTCTGCTCCTTGGAGATGCCAAGGGGGTGGCAGGAGGAGGAGGAGCGTGGCACTGGTTGTTTCCACGTGGTGGGCACTGTGCCTGCCCCCCGAGTGCTGGGGGCTCGGGGACAGGAGAGTGGGGGGCTGCTGCAGCTGCACAGGCTTGGCAGCACCGTCCCCGATGGAGGGAGCGTCCCGGAGGCCTGCCGGTGCCTGGCCCTGGACAGGAAGGGCCTTTGCCATGGCCAGAGCCCCTCGGGGTACAAGTTGGGGACCGACTGACTAATGGGCTAATGAACAGAAAATGATGGCTGCCCATAACGGCCCAGGCCTCTGTGGCCCTGGGCTGCCGCCTTGTCCCACGCCAGCCCCGTCCAGGTGGCAGGACCCTGTGGGGGAGGCACTGCTGTGGGCGCCCTCCCCGGCCCCTGATGGACCGATGTGAACGGCCCCCTCAGCGGCTGCCCGGCCTCTCCCCGGCCCCTCCGTGGACAGTGGGACCCCAGAAACACACACCGCTGCCCCCCTGCCCGCCGGTCTGTTTTCACCACAGTCTTGAAAGGTCCTGGAACCCTCCACCACTCCGACTCCCCAGGACCCCCAGAGGTGGTGGGGGCCATGGCCAGCAGGACCTCCTTGCCCTGCACCCTGGGGCTGCCCACGGTATGCCAGCCTCAGGAGGGAAGCCCTGGCCTGCCTGATGTGACCGCAGCAGCGCCCGCCCCGAGCACAGGCTCAGGCCATGTCATTAGGTCACTAACTGGTCACCTCCCATCTGTCCTCCCCCAGCTCTGGGCCCACAGGCGGAGGGGCAGCGGGGGGCAGGGCCCAGCTGACAGGGGGTCAGTGCTCCCCGCCAGCCCCTGGTTGTCAGGCCCGGGTGGGTCTCAGAGGCTGCAGTCCGGCCGGCCCTGCCCGCTCCGCCCCGTCAGATATTCCGGGCCCAGCTCCCCGCAAACACAAACACAGGATGCGCCTGGCCGGCCAGCGGTTCCCAGCCCGGCCGCTCCCAGCCGGGCCGAGGAAAATCGGGGGAAGTTGTTAACCGGCCCCGGCCCGGCGAGACAATGGGCTCTAAGATTAGCTGTGAGCCCGCGGCGCAGGTTTAACCGGGGGCTTGTCCACGGCAGGGCTCCGACAGAACAATGCCCGTCTGGAGTCTGGGCGCGCCCGGGACCCCCTGGGCCGAGGCATGGGGGTGGCTTTGGGGGGCTGGGCCCCATGCAGCGAGGACAGGTGGGCGCAGGGCAGGGAACCGGGGACTCCGCCCGGCCCTGCTCGTCCTCTCGGCTCTGGCCCCTCTGTGCCCACCCCCGGGAGGCGAGGGCCTGAGGGGCAGACGGAGTGGCCACAGGCTTGGGGTCTGTCTTCGTCCCAGACCAAACCCCAGTCTGGGCGGGGGGAGGGGGCTCCCACCTTCTCCAGCCCCCGGGGACCCACTGCTTGTCTCCTGCTCCTGCCTCCTCACCCCGCTCTGCCCCCTGACACACGGCCACCCTTTCCTGGTCTTTCTTGTCAGGCACCCCAAGGCCCGCGCACCCCGGAAAGGCCGCTCACCTCCACATCCCGCCGTGTCCCTCTAGCTGAACCTTCCACTCCCAGTCTTGGCTTTCCTCCCTGAGCTCTGCCGACCGCCCCTCCCATAGCCGGGTCATGGCCGGTGGGCCCCGTGAGCCGGGGGCCTTGGCTGCTTCTGAGGAACCCACAGGGCTGCCTCCCCCAGAGCCCACCTCCTTCCTCAGCGTCCCGGCCCTTCACCCCGTCCGGCCTCAGGGCGCTACCTGGTCCGCAGGGAGAGTCCCTGGGCATCTGACGGGCAGGTGGGGAGGCTGCCGCCCGCCTCGGGGTGTGGCCGGCCTGGACGGGCCTCGGGGTCCTGCCCCCCCACCCCCGCCCTGCGCCCAGCCCAGCTCACCTGGGGGTGGAAGAGCAGAGGGGGAGGCCGCAGGAACTTCTCCTTCAGGACGCCCACGGGGTCCGGCACCTTCCGCTTCTCCACCCTGCTGGACAGCAACGCCAAGGGTTACGTACCCCCAGGGCCTGCGGGCTCCTGCCTGCGCCCCTCGGTCACGGGGGGCCTCGTCATGCCGGTTCTGCTGGGCCCCACGGAGTCTCACCGACATGCAGGGACCGTCATGGCTTGGCCCACACGCTGCCCGCTGAGCCCTGGCTCCCTCCCTCCCGTGCCCCCATCACCTCACCAGCTCTGGGCCCTCCCAGTCTCCCCAGCGCCCCCCACCCCAGCTGGGGCGCCCGTGACCGTGCGAATGCTGAATGCGGAGCCTGGGACCAGCCCTGCCCCGTCTACTCTGTCGGGGTCCCTGGGGTTGTCCCAGCAGAACATGGAGCCCGCAGGAGGCTGACACCGACTCCCCGACTTCCCTGTCGCCGGCCCCAGGCACCGGGCACTTTGCCCGCCTGGTGAGTGGCCAGCGGCTTCGTCCTGGGGAAGGCGCGGGGCCCCTGATGTGGCCGGGCAGCTCCCACCGGGGCCCTGGCGGCCAAATGCCGGTGACACGTGGCCAGCACAGAGCGGGGGGGGGGGGGGGGGGGGGGGGGGCGGGGCAGGGGGGGCGGGAGGTGGCCAGGGCGGCGGCCAGCAGCCCTTCTCCCCTGAGGTCACCTGACGTCCCCCCTCACCCAGGTCTCCTCACCCAGGTGCCCTTTCATCATTTCCCAGCAGCGCCTGCCTCAGTTTCCCCTCGGGGTTGAGATTCCATCTAAACGGGAAACCTCTTCACCGGCAGACACAGCCCCTCTGACCGAGTCCCGGGCCCGTGGGCCTGCCTGGCTCCTGCGAGGCCTCGCTCCCGTCCCTTTGACATGTGGCTGTCTTCCCGGGCCCAGCGGGACGCTGGCCAAGCAGGACGGGGACAACCCAGGAGAGGGGCTGAGCACAGGAGACCCCAGAGCCGCCCGGAGCCCAGGGGCAGGGGCGCCTCACAGGTAGCCCCACGGAGAGCCGCCGTCCAGGAGGGGGCGGGCGGGAGCCGCAGGACGGGCTTGGGGAGGCCCCCTCGGGGGAGAGGATGACTCCGGGCGCGGCCGTGCGGGACTGGAACGGGCTCCGAGGCTTAGCTGAGGCCCCTCAGAGCTGGGCCGCGCCCGGTCCCGCCCTCCCAGGGGGCACCAGGCTGGGGGCATGGGCGAGAGGGGACACATGGGAGGAGGGCTCAGTGTGGCTCCATCCCTTCTGCCTTCCTGCTGATTTGGGCCACATGGCGGCCCCACAGGCGGGCGAGGGGGACCCGGGCGGGCACTGGAGGGCAAGGGGAGACTGGCCCCCACCCTCGCTGGCACCCCGCCTGACTGGGCGCGTCTCCCTCGTCCCTCAGCAGGCGTGACCTCACTGAACGCGGGTCCCAGGCCCCGCTGGCCCTTGGGGAGCGAGCAGCAGGCACACGGCCCTCGGGGTGGCCGCACGGCCCTTGCTCCCTGACACCAGTGCATGTGTGTACACGTGTGTGCACACGCCTCCCATCCAGAGGCAGGGCCTGCGTCAGCTGCACCGCCAATACCCGCTGCCTGCGCCTCGGCTCCCTCCCAACCTGCCTGTGCTCAGCCTGCTCCTGGCGCTCAGCCAGGCTCCCTGGGGCACAGGTCTGGGTCAGACCCCCCCACCCCACAACCCCAGGTCAAAGGCCTACAGACACCGGGGAGGCTGAAGGTGGCCCCTCACTGGGAGGCTGGCCGAGTGAAGGGACACGGATTGGTGCCAGCCCTAAAGCTTCCTCCTCATCCTCCTCCCCCTCCATGGCAGGGGCTCCCCACTGGGCCACCAGGAAGGCCGGCTGCGGCCAGAGGGAAGTAGAGACACTGGGGAGAGGGAAGGGCGAGGGCGGGTGTGAGTTTTGTGGGGGCCCGAGCTGGTCTAGGAAGACAGCTGGAGGCTCAGGGCCCGGGGTGGGGATCAAGGGGGGGTTGCGGGGGTGTGTGTGTGGCTCAGGCAGCGCAGAGGGTAGCCCAGTGGCCGTCAGCGAGGGGGAGCACGAGTGTCCAGGAGACCCTGCCCTGGCCTCCCGAAGTGGCCCCGGCCAGGCACCCACACCAGGATCCCAGGGTCGGGCTGAGCCAGCGTGGGCCCCTGAGCCAGCAAAGGCAGCGGGAGGGCCTGGGGGAGCAGGAGAGGCGGCCCCATGGCCTGGGCGAGCGGCGAGGGCAGGGCCTGTGAATACCTGTAGATGGGGTCCATGAAGAAGGGCGAGGGCTTGGCGTAGTGCAGGGAGGGCTGCTGGGGCAGCTGGGCCGGGCAGGCCTTGGGCAGCCCATCGCCCGCCAGCTTGCGCTCCCCGTAGATGTGGTTCTTGCGCGGCTCCCGGCCCCCGCCGTTCAGGCTGGCCCGGGCGCGGCTGCCGATGCTCAGGTCCAGCGGCTGCTCCTCGCCGGCCGCGGGGCCCGCCTTGGGCGCGGGCAGGACGGGCAGCGCCTCTTTGGGTTTGGTGGTGAGGTCAAAGGGGGACTCGGTGCTGGGGCCGCCCCCCTTGAGGGCGTCCCGGGGCGACTTTGGCTCGGCCTTGACCAGCAGGCTGTGGGCGAGGGTGCGGTCGGCGAGGGGGTAGAGGGAGGGGGGGAAGTCGGGCAGGAACTGGAAGGGGAACACGGAGTGGTAGGGCAGCGCGCCCAGCCGCTTCTCGGGGACGCCCATGAAGCCGGGCCCGAAGTACTTCTCCGCGATGGACGCGATGGCCTTGATGGAGTCGCCCGTGGCGCCCGCCGCCAGCAGCTGCTCGTCAGGCGGCGGGAAGAAGGAGTGCTGGGCGTAGAAGACGGGCACCTCGCTCACGCTGTTGGGGGCCCCCGGCGGCGCCGCGCCGCCCCCGAAGCCGGGCTTGCCCTCGGCTGCCTGGCTCTTGTCCTTGGCCTTGTCGCGGTCGCTCTCCGCGTCGCTGTCCAGGTCCGAGCCGGTGCCCGTGGTCGTGTCCAGGTCCGTGCCGGTCGTGGTGTTGATGTCCTCGAAGTCGCTGCCGTCCGACAGGTCGCTGCTCCGTGTCTTGAGCTTCTCGGGGTACGTGTCCTCCAGGTGCCCCTCGAACTTCTCCTCGGGCCCCGCGGCGCCCGTGGCGCCCTGGCCACTGCTGCCCACGGCGACCAGGGGCAGCGCCGGGTTCCCCAGGGGGCTGGGCAGCTTGGCGTCCTGGGTGTGGTTCAGGGGGCTCTTGAGCAACGGCGTGGGAGGTAGCAAAGGCGGCCGGGGGTACAGGGACGGCGGGAAGATGCCGGGGAAGCCGGGGGTCAGTGCGGGGAAGGCCGGCGGCGCCGCCGAGAAGGGCAGGCTCCCCGGGTGCGGCCGGGAGGGGAAGTACTCGCTGAAGCCCAGGCCGGCGTGGTTGAGGTTGGGGGGCGGCTTGGCCTTGTCCAGCAGGGGGCTGGGGGTGAGGGGCAGGCCCGGGGAGAAGAGGCCGCCGGGCGGGTAATGGTTCTTGCCCTCGCAGAAGCGCCGGTGCTTGTTGAGGGAGGAGGTAGTGCTGAACATCTGGCCGCAGTCCTTGCACTTGATCTGCGTGCGGCAGTCGGCGTGCATGCGCTTGTGGCGGCACAGGTTGGAGAACTGCGTGTAGGACTTGTGGCAGACCTCACCTAAAGCGTCAGCAGAAAGCACGCAAACACGCTATGAAATTACCAGGAAACCGGGGGGGGGGGGGCAGGGAAGGGGCTTCTGTCCCTGGTGATCGGAGCAGCCTGTGCTTCTCTCTGTGTGTACATGTATGTCAGTAGGTATGCATGTGTGCGCGCAAGTGTGTAGACGCACACATGTTCATGTGAGAATATGCACCTGCAGGCACATGTATTATGCATGTATGCATGTAGACACGTGTGCATGCATGCTGCACACAGATGTGGGAATGCCGTGTGCATGAACATGTGTGTTCATGTGTGTTCATGTTGTGCATAAATGGCCGAATGTGTACACATACACAAATGTATGCATGTCACACATGCATGTGAATGCCACTCACATGCACATATGTGTGCATGTGCACGCAAGTGTGCTCATGTATTTCACAGTGAGCACGTGTGCATGCCATTCATGGGCACATGCATATGTTGCATTGTGTATGTGCACATCTGCATGTGTGTGCCTGTAAACACATGTGCACACAGACACACATGTGCACCCCATGCTAGGGGTGGCCTTGTGCCCAGCATGAACGGACAAGGGCTGCTTCTGTGTCCTGTGCTCCCCGTGCAGCCAGGCTAAGCCTCATGCTCTGCGTCTGTAATGGGGGGCAAGGACTTCCAGCCTCAGGTGGGCAAAGGCAGGCAGACAGCCAGGTGCCGCCGCGGGGCTCGCCCAGGACCCACCTCCCTTCCTGCCTCATCCTGCCCCCCACATCACACCCCCCGTTTCTAACGGTGTAGTGTCCCCAGCTGCCCGTCCTCTCCTGTCCCAGGCCCTGGGGCCTGCAGCCAGGCGGCCACCCCTCAGGAGTGCTGGGTGGGGAGCCTGGGCTCCTGGCCTGTGTGGTCGCCGTGGGGGTGGCCTGAGGTGGGGGGGAGAGGGGGCCCCCGCAGGGCCTGCAGCGCGGGGCTGGGTCTGCATCAGAGGAAAGTGGAACCTCCCGAATTGGGATCCAGAGGCGGTGCCGTCTCTGCTCCCGACAGGAGAGGGCAGTGCCGGCTGGCGCCGAGCGCAGGACCCCGGGACCCAGGGGACCCGTCGCAGCCATTTTCCCGGTGGCCTGTGAGCTGAGTGGCAGCAGCAAGTCACCAGCGTTCCTTTCTCCTGTTTATCCAGCCGCGGGAGGAACGCAGCCCCCCCCCCCCCGCCCCCCCGTGTCTTTCTCTGCAGGACAAGCTGCGCCCTGATGCAGCCCCGGTGGGAACAATGATTTCGCGTGCTGCTCGCTCCCCCGGCCCTCGCAGCCTGACGGCAGGCCACCTAGGGGAGCCGGCCCGGACTATGGCGCCTTCCTCACAGCATCTATTTATATGAGCTGCTCGGCCTTCCTGGCCACGGGCAGGGCAGGCATTTTCAAGGGAAGAGGCTGCCTCACAGAATCACATCTGCCCCTGGGGAGGCACGGGGCCATCTATAAATACCCTCAGGTCCCGCCCAGCTCGGGGAGGGGGAGAGGCCGTGCTCAGCTCAGGCCTGGCTGGACGAAACAAGAGGCCGTTGCTGTGCCCTTGACCCTGGACGGGCGGTGTCAGTGCCTCGTTAGTGGCTGCTACCCCCTAAGCTTGGAAAGGTGCCTGGGCCTGGGAGCCTGGCATGCCGGGTCCCCACCACCTGGTCCAAATGCGGGGGCTGCAGAGACGCTGGGGCCACAGAGACGTCTCTAGGGGACTGAGGTCTAGAGATGCGGGTCCTGGACCCGGGATGGCCGCCACTGTCAGAGCCGGTACGGGAGGCGGCTGCCCGCAGGGCTGAGAGGCCCTTGGACATGGGGACCAGCACCTGAGGAACAGGGACCCGGGCTCTGCCAGAGTGCAGGGGGACCCTGGCCCACCCTCATCCCGTCAGCAGTTTTCCTTGAGGGGTACATGTGTGGATATACACACTCACCACCACACATTCACACACATACAGACTCACACACCTACACCCACACCCACACCCACGCACACACCTACACCCCCCCCACACCCACACTCACCCCCCCATGCACACAGTCACTCACACCCCCCCACACCCCCCCAATGCACACACCAGCACTCACACACATGCATACACCCACAGTCACACACAGGCACACACCCACTCACATACCCTCACACGCACACACCCACAGCCACACACACAGGCACACACCACACACCTACACTCATACACACGCACACACTGACACACACATGCCTGCACTCACCCACATTCACACACACACTCCCACATGCACACGCACACACGCACGCACACACACACACACACACACACACACACACACAGAATGACCCCCCATGGCGAGAACACCCTGACACAACTCCCCACACTCCCAGGGTCACCCCTCCTGGCTTTGATGTAATGGAGCCTGAGAAGTCGCAGGCCGCCTCGCCTGGGGTCAGGAGCCAGCCACCTTGAACCAGAAGCAGGGTTTTGCCGCATGGCCTTGAGCACCTGGCCCCTTAATGTCCTGAAGCCTCAGTTCCCTTCTCGGTCATTAGAGATAGTACAGACCCCGCTCCCTAGGATTTTGTAAGGGTACTGTGAGATAATGCATGTGAAATGGTGACTCAGCACAACCTGGTGTGAATGGTGACTCAGCACTATCTGGTGTGAATGGTGACTCAGCACTATCTGGTGTGAATGGTGACTCAGCACTATCTGGTGTGAATGGTGACTCAGCACTATCTGGCGTGAAGGGTGACTCAGCACTATCTGGCGTGAATGGTGACTCAGCACTATCTGGTGTGAATGGTGACTCAGCACTATCTGGGGTGAAATGATTGCTAATTGCACTGTTAGGCAGAGAAAAACCTTCAGGCTCACTTCCCTGGGCTGGCCCATGAGGTCCCTGGGACCTAGCCCTTTGGACTTCTGACCCCTCTCCTATGAACCCCCTATCACTCACCCCCCAGACACACTGGCCCCGCGGCCTCTATGCTCAGAGCTGTTGTTCCGCTCTCTCCTCCTCCTTCAGTCTCTGCTGGAGTGACTCGTCCCACAGGCTGCCCGGCCTCCCATCGCATGGGTGGAACAGTGCCCGCCTGGCACTGAGAGCCTCCTAGTCCTGCCCTGCCCCACCCCCAGCTCGGGCGCTGGTCACATGCCTGGTTAAGGGTTACATGGCTCGACCGCTGTCTCCTCCGTTATTTCACTGGGCCCTGCCACCCGGACAGTCCTGGGCATGTAGTCCAGGCCCCAGCGGAACTCAGTGGGTGCCACTGGCATGGCCGTGCCTCCGGAGGCCCGGGTTGGGTGGTGCCTGAGTGCGGGGAGAGGGTGTGCAGCGGAGAAGAAGGCGGGACCCAGGACCTTCCTAGCAGCGCGGCCACCTCTGGCCTCTGCAGGGATGTGTGAGGGAGGAACCAGGGAAGCGGAGGAGAAAGTGAGGGAAGAGGCACAAAACGAGGGGGGGTGAGGGAGCCGCGCCATGGGCCGGCGGCCCCAGCACAGCGCCTGGCCTGGCTCTGCGGGGCAGAGGTGCCCCCGCCGCCTCGGTGCCTCTGCACCAACAGGGGTCCTGCCACCAGGGAGCCCCGGGACCCCCTGCCTTGGCTTGATCCTCGAAATGCCCGCAGGCCCGTGCGCCCAGCCGGGACGACTTACATATGAAAGGTTTCACGGTGCTGTGGATGTGCTTGTGCTGCTTGAGGCCGGAGGACGTGGCGAAGGTCTTCCCGCAGTCGGGGCAGGCGTGCGCCCGCGCGCCCACGTGCTGCGAGCGGATGTGCCGCTGCAGGTTGCTGGGGTCCGTGAACACCTGTGGAGGCAGAGGCTGTGGCCGGCGCCCGCCCGCCCGTCCAGCAGAGGCAGGCGGAGGCGGACACGTGCTGCTCGGCCTTGGGGGGCTGGGCCCCCATTCTCCTTCCCCATTGCGGGGGCGGGGCCGCCCGGAGAGAGCAGGTCTGCCCCCCGGGCCCTGTCCCCTCCCAGTCCCGTCACCAGCCTGTCCGAGACGGGCAGTGGCCACACCCGGGCGCGTTACCTTCACACAGTTTTCACATTCGAAGCGCTTGCCGCTGTCGTGGGACATCTGGTGGCGAATGAGGTTGGACTTCCAGTTGAAGGCCTTGGGACACTGGTCGCACTTGTACTCTCTCTCCTCCGTGTGGACGACCATGTGCTGCTCCAGGCTGTGCCGAGAGGTCAGAGGTCACTGCCGGCCAGCCGGCCCACCCCCTGCCCAGCGGGACGGCTGCCTGCGCCCCCAGCACGCCCTGTGCAGATCAGAGCGCGCTGTGCACCGTCTGTCCGTCCTCCCGCCCCAGACAGGTCCATGGGATGGAGCGGCAGAGGCGGCCCTCGGCCAAAACCACCGCAGGGCGCCCCCAGCCCTCACTTCCTGGCCTCCCTTCTGGACAATCTTAACCTTGAAGCTGACCCTGGGCCTAAGAAAAGGGGCCAGAGCTTTCAACAGGGCCATGAGCCCAGCATGGGCGGGGGCACACGAAAGCCACGGCCGCCCCGAGTGTTCTCAGGTGCTCCCCGCCCGCCGCGCGCACACGGAGGTGGCCGGGGTGCAGGGCGGGCTGGGCCCGGGTGAGCGAGCAGCCCCGACCCTCGGGGGACCCCTGCCTCCCGTGGCCCAGGTCCGCCCGTTAATCTTCATGAGCGAGAAGCAATACATCACGGCCCGTTAATTACGGCGCCCAGCCATCCGTTCAGCTCGGCAGCGCTGGTCCTCGGCCCGGCAGCCGGGATCCCTCTCCGGGGCTAATTGTGATTTATGTGTTTATGTAAAGGAAACAGGGCCCTCGGCAGTGCTGACCACCCGGGGCCTCGGCGGGACTTGCCTGAGCGCCGACTTTCTGTCATCTGTTCGGGGTGGAGGGTTTCCCGCCCCGGAGGCCGCGAGGGGCCGGCGGCCAGTGTCCGCGATCCCACGGCCAGTTAGGGGCTTGCCGGGCTGCGGCTGCCTGGGCCGGCCTGTCCGGGAGGAGACTCTCGAGGCAGGAGGAGGCCGCGCTGGGAAGGCTACCTGTCCCCTGAGCACGGGGACAGCATGTCCCCCCTCGGACCCAGGAGGCCCGTCTTCCCCGGGGCCCTCGGGGCTCCCGGCGCCGCCTTGACCCTGCCTGGCTGGGGGCGGGAAGGGCCACCGGGGCCGCTCCAGGGACGGTGTCCAGAACTCTGTGTCTCTCTGTGAGGCCTCCTGGGCCAGGTGGGTGGCACCTGGGACAGGGGTGGGGACCCCTGGGTGGCTCCTTCCCTCTCCTGCCGCTGTCTAAGGAGCTGTGCGTGTATCCGGACAGTCAGGCCGCTCCACCGAGCCCGCGGCCATGGGGTGCACGGTCCCCACTCTGGCCTGGGACCTTTCTCCAGAAGCGGCCCTGGGCCCGGCCCGCATGTCCCGCGTCTGGCCTGCGGTTCTTGCCTTCCCTCCATCTGCCCCCACAGCTCTGCCTGATGCACAGGGCAGGGCCAGTGTCTCAGAGGGAATCTCCAGGGGATGAGGCACGGACAGGGACCGGACTTCATGTGAGAGTCATGAACACCTGCGGCCTCCAACGACCAACTTATTGTCCGCTCAATGCCAGCTCAATGCCAGCTCAATGTCAGCTCAATGTCAGCTCAATGTCCGCTCAATGCCAGCTCAATGCCAGCTCAATGTCAGCTCAATGTCCGCTCAATGCCAGCTCAATGTCCGCTCAATGCCAGCTCAATGCCAGCTCAATGTCAGCTCAATGCCAGCTCAATGTCCGCTCAATGTCAGCTCAAAGCCAGCTCAATGTCCGCTCAATGCCAGCTCAATGTCCGCTCAATGTCAGCTCAAAGCCAGCTCAATGTCCGCTCAATGCCAGCTCAATTTCAGCTCAATGCCAGCTCAATGCTAGCTTAATGTCAACTCAATGCCAGCTCAATGCCAGCTCAATATCAGCTCAATGCCAGCTCAATGCTAGCTTAATGTCAACTCAATGCCAGCTCAATGTCAGCTCAATGCCAGCTCAATGTCAGCTCAATGTCAGCTCAATGCCAGCTCAATGCTAGCTTAATGTCAGCTCAATGCCAGCTCAATGTCAGCTCAATGCCAGCTCAATATCAGCTCAATGTCAGCCCAATGTCAGCTCAATGCCAGCTCAATGCTAGCTTAATGTCAGCTCAATGCCAGCTCAATGTCAGCTCAATGCCAGCTCAATGCCAGCTCAAATGTCAGCTCAATGCCAGCTCAATGTCAGCTCAATGTCAGAGGAGTGGGACATGTACTCACCCCTGGGGGTGCCACACTGGAAGGGACCCTCATCTCCCCGTCCCTGCAGCTCTAGGCCTGTCAGGGCTCCCTCTGTGCTCCGAGGGCCGGCTGACCTGCTGTCCTGACTGGCTCCTGGGGAAGGGGCGGGGAGGGGAGGTGGGGGAGGACGGGGGTGGGGGAGGCACCTGTATTTGTTGGGGAACATCCGCTCGCAGTCCTTGCATTCGTGGGCCTGTCCGTCGCCGCCCCCGCCGCCCAGGCCCTTGGCCTTGAGCTCGTCGCCCAGGCCCGCGTAGAGGGCGGCGCCCACCGAGCCGCACGCGTACTTCTTGTGTCGCCGCAGGTCCAGCTTGGACTGGAACAGCTCGTCACACACGTCACAGCGGAATGTGGGCTCCTCTGCAAGAGACGGGGTCAGGACATGAGGGGGGGCTGTGACCTGGGAGTGCCTGAGGGGCTGGGAGCCCGCCCGCACTCGCTGCTCCTGCTCCCTCCTGCCCTCATCATCGGCCCCGGGGGTGGTGGCGGGGACGTGGAGACCACGGGCCCTGCGTCCACAGCGTAGGAAATGCTGGAGGCCAGGCCCCGCGTCTCGGGGCCTCGCGGCGGGAGCGGCCCGTGCCTGGGAGCGGAGAGGAAGCAGGCCAAGTGCTTTGTTTACGCATCAGGAGGAGAAGATGACAGCGCTCTAATGCGTGTCATAAATTACTGTCGTCAAGGTCAAACGAATTAAAGGGGGGCAGTTATTATGAAGTTTACGAGGCGGCATCCTGCCCGGCCTGCCAAGCCGAACAGCCGGCCCAGAGCTGTCAGTTTCCTGGGGGGACGACCTCCGGCCCATCCCAGCCTCCCCCTCTGCCAGCGGCTGCTGGCCAGCAGCTCCTCCCAGACGGTGTCCTCGCCCCGCCAGGAGGACCCTGTGTCCCACCCAGGCCTGGAGCGAACACCAGCATTAGGACCCTGGCACAAAAGTGTGCTGGTGAGCCATGTGTGACTGCACGTGTGCTCCTTGTGCAGGGCGTGCAGCTGTGCAGGTGTGTGCATGCTGTGTGCAGGGTGTGTGGCTGTGCAGGTATGTGCATGCTGTGTGCAGGGCATGTGACTGTGTAGGTGTGTGCATGCTGTGTGCAGGGCGTGCAGCTGTGCAGGTGTGTGCATGCTGTGTGCAGGGTGTGTGGCTGTGCAGGTGTGTGCATGCTGTGCAGGGCGTGTGGCTGTGTAGGTGTGTGCATGCTGTGTGCAGGGCATGTGGCTGTGTAGGTGTGTGCATGCTGTGCGCAGGGCGTGTGGCTGTGTAGGTGTGTGCATGCTGTGCACAGGGCGTGTGGCTGTGTAGGTGTGTGCATGCTGTGTGCAGCGCATGTGGCTGTGTAGGTGTGTGCATGCTGTGCGCAGGGCGTGTGGCTGTGTAGGTGTGTGCATGCTGTGTGCAGGGCGTGTGGCTGTGTAGGTGTGTGCATGCTGTGTGCAGGGTGTGTGGCTGTGTAGGTGTGTGCATGCTGTGTGCAGGGCGTGTGGCTGTGTAGGTGTGTGCATGCTGTGTGCAAGGCGTGTGGCTGTGCAGGTGTGTGCATGCTGTGTGTAGGGCGTGTGTGGGTGTGTGTAGGGCGTGTGGCTGTGTGAGAATATGTGTGCATGAGTGTGAATGTTCATGCATGTCAGCATCCAGGTATGTGCATCTTTGTGTGAATGTGTCAACATTTTTGTGTGTCTGCACTCTTGTTTGTGTTGTGTGCATCTGTATTCATGTGCAAGTGTGACCAGTGTGAGTGTGCACCTGTGCTTTTGTATGTAGCTACAGGTGTGGAGATTTATGTGTCTGCATATTTCCATACTCTATGAAGGACATGTAAGCATGCCTGGACATGTAAGCATGCCTGGACATGTATGCATTTGTGCATGTTTCTGCTCACCCATGTGTGTATTATGTTGTGTGTGCATGCTAAGTGTACACATTTGCGTGCACATATGCGTGTGGTGAGTATGCATGTATAAATGTAAATTCATGCAAGTTTGTGTGAATATGCAATTGTGTGCCTGTGTAAATGTGTGCAGCTGTGTGTAAATATGTGCATGCATGTGTGTGCCTACATGTGCGTGTGTGTTTGTGTGCGTGCACATTCACAAGGACCCCTGGGCCTGGCACAGAGCAGAGGCTTGATAACCTGGGCTGAGTGCGGCCCCAGGGCTGGCCTTCAGGGTGCAGGAGGCAGGCAGCAGGGAGATGGGGTTCCGCTGCCTCCTGGTGTCGGGGGCCACCAGAGCCACTCTGAGGTGAGGAGGGTGAGCGGCCTGCAGCCTGGGCGCGGGGGTGGCCTCCTGTCGCCTCCCCTGCTGGTGCCCCGGGGGCGCCGGCAGGAGCAGCGCTGACATGCGGCCAAGCCCCAGGACACGCAAGCACCGCCCTGCCCAGTGTCACTGTCGGTCCGTCTCTCACAGAGGCAGGTACCTGGGGAGGGGAGGGCCTGCTGAGAGCAGCCCTGGGGACACGGGGGACTGGATCACCTGCGCTGGGGGCAGGCCAGGCAGCCTGGTGAGGGAGTCACGTTACAGCAGCCGGCCCTGCGGGGGCTGTGGCCGTGGCCGTGGCCGTGGGGGCAGGACCTTGGCCTCTGGAGCTCGGGAGGCTCTGGCCCAACATCTCTGGACACGTGGTCTGGACCGAGCCCCAGACACGCTGGGCGGCAGAGGAGCCTGGGAGGGGCCAGCAGGCCTGCGTCCACACCAATCCAGGGGCCTGGCGGGGCAGGCGTTTGCCAGCACCGCGGCCAGCGGGATCGTCATGCTCCCAATGGCAGGGCAGCGCGCTGGGCAGAGGCACAGGGCTGTGGGGTCATGGGGCTGTGGCCGATGGGGAGCGAAGCCTCAGAGAGGTTCTATAGCAGAGCCCGCCTAGCCCGGCCCGGCCGCGGGGCCCAGTGGCTGAGCGTGGATGGACCTAGGAACCAGGAGGTCAGGGTTCGATTCCCGGTCAGGGCCCAGGCCTGGGTTATGGGCTCGATCCCCAGTGTGGGGTGTGCAGGAGGCAGCCGATGGATGATTCTCTCTCATCTTTGATGTTTCCATTTCTCTCCCTCTCCCTTCCTCTCTGAAATCAATAAAAAATATATTAAAAAAATATATTTCAAACAGAATTCTGCACGTCAGCTCCTTTAAGGAAAACGTTCCGCTGGGAGAACAGCCTGAGTGACATTTCCACACCGAGGGGCGGGGCCTCCACGCGGCAGCATGCGCCCAAGGACCTCCCGGCACCCGCGCATCCAAGCCTCAGATAATCCACTCGTGCCTCCTGGGGATATACCTGTGCCCGCCATCCAAGGGGTAAACGGAGGCTGAGAGAGACTTGCCGAGGGAGCCAGCAAAGCGACAGAGCCGTGTGACTGCAGCCTTCGCCGTGCTTCCTGCCCTGGACGCAGGCGGCAGTGTCCCTGCGTCCCACAGGCCCATAGTACATGCGAGGCGTGTGGCTGTGAGGCTACGGAGCACCGGCATCCCGGCCCCTCCCTGGCCTCGAGCCTGTGAGTTCCTGTCCCTCTGAGCACCCAGGCGCCGATTCAGAGCAGAACCGGACGCTCAGACCCCACAACACTGCCCTGCGGGCTCACTCGGGCTTCCTGGGCTGGGCTGAGGCCGAGGCCCTCCCCGCGCGTCACGGTCAGGTTAGAAATGCGGGCCTCGCTTACGCTCTGCTCTCTGCACCCAGCGAGGAACAAGCAGGGAGCTTGCAATTTGAAACAAAGCAGCAGCGCCGGCCCCGCCCATCCCCAGCTCCGACCAACTGCTTTCCCCACTTTTGATCTGCGATTGGATTGAACATGAAAACTCAAGCCCAGTTCCCAGTCTGCGGCATCTGAGCGAGTCTGGAGGCCGTGGGCCCACGTGGCCATGAAGGTCACCCTCCTTCGCCGCCTCCCATTCAGCCATGGATCGGCCCGCCCGGCGGAAGGACAGAGCTGGGAACCCTCGCCCACCTGTGGTGTGGACAGGGGTCCCACCATCGCCCACGCAGGTAAGGCCGGCGCTGAGCGCACGCCTGGCTGTGCTGGGGGCAGAGGGGTGCACACAGCCCACGGGGTTCACTTTCCCAGCACCAGCGATTCTGTTGTAGTGAAAGGCTGAACCAATAGCTACATTGTAGCTACGTTGTGTTACATTGTATCCGATCGTATTAAGTCGTGTTGTATTACATTGTATTGTATGTGTCGTCTTGCATCGTGTCAGTCTCATGCTTACACACAACACCCGGCGTCCTCTCCTCCGTTTGTGGAGAGGCGAAAGGGTTAATAATGCCGAGCTTTCTCGAAAGAAAGGCATATTGAGTGGAAATGGTTTCGTGATTTTCTTCCAAGAGCGAGAAGTTCTCCTGAAAGAGAATCCTTTCCCCTCCCCATTCAAAGGGTAAAAACAAAATGAAAGGTTGCGGGGACCCAGGCCCTGCAAGGCCCCTTCTGCTCTGACTCCCGGGGGTGAAGGTCGGACTCGCATTTCTACGGGTCGCAGCCTGGACAGGGGGGTCCAGCCCCAGACGGGCGGGCCGGCGCTCAGGGCCCCCAGGGCGGCAGCCGTGAGGGCGTTTCTCCCATGTGACCTGAACAGTGTCCGGCAGAGCCCCCCCCCCAGCAGGAGCGCACACCATTGCGACTCAGAGCTGCAGTCTCGCCCCGGCAGGTGTGGCTCAGTGGTTGGAGCATCGGCCCGTGCACCGAAGGGTCACGGGTTCGATTCCCAATCAGGGCACACACCCAGGGTGCGGTTCATTCACCATCGGGACATCTACTGGAGGCAACTGATGGATGTTTCCTGTCCACGCAGATGTTTTGCGCTCTCTCTCTCTCTCTCTCTGCCCCCCTCCTCTCTCTCTAAAACCAATTTTTAAAAGGACCGCAGTCTCCTCTCCTAAGCCGGGTGGGGCCGTGGGGGTCGTGGGGGCCGGGACCGGGGAAGAGGCTCCTTCTTTCACCCAAACCCAGGCGTGCGGCCTGCGCCCGCGCGTCTGTCGGCAGCTCCATCGGCGAGCTCCGCGGGGGAGCAGGGACGAAGCAGAACGCAGGCCGGTGCCCAGCGGCTCTGAGCGCGGGCCGGGGACGCAGCTGTGCGGGGCCTGCCGGCTACCCTCCCGCCTGAGGCTCGGCTCAGAGCCCCGAGTCCCCGGCCCGCTCAGGCCGCATCGAGGGGCCCGGATGGAAGATGTTCTATGGTAATTCTCTTCGTGAGGATCGTTTTCGCATTTTCTTTTTTGTGAAATTCAGAGTCTAATGGGGGGGGGGCGGGGTGCTGGGAGGCGAAGGAGGGATCCTGACAGCAGAGCCTGAAGTCACCTACGCGGCGGGGCGAGCGTGGGAGCAGGTAGCCACGCGCTGGATAAATCGGGGAAACGCAGAGCCAGGTCAGTTACGAGGGCCGCGGGGGAGGAGGAGTCAGGGTTTAGAGCTCGGGAAGAAGGGCATTTCGTCGCACACGAGAACCCGTCGGGCACAGGCCGCGCGGCGCGGGCTTGCCTCCGAGGCCCCGCGTCGGCCCAAGGCTCTCGGTCTTTCCAACAACTGTTTTAAGGAAAACGAGCCATCCCCGGCCGCCCAGGTCTCGGCCGTTTATTTTTCTTTTCTCCTAATGAAGACCACCCGCCGGAGGAGCGGACAGATGGGATCCGGCTCCCGAAACCATCCTCTGCACCCGCCCCCGGCCGGCTCTGCCGCGGGAGGAGGCGCTCCCACCGCCGGCCGGGGCCACGCGGGCACCAGGAGAGCGCGGAGCCGGCCCTCGAGGCTGCCCCGTGACCCCCACGCCCCGCTCCCCGCCAGCCAGGCCGCCCCGTGCCGGGCCGTTGGAGGGACTTGCTGTTAGAGGCTTAATCACGAAGCTGAGGTGTGTTGGGTGGTGGGGGGGGGGGGGGATGAAGTCGGGAAGGAGCCCCTCCTCTCGCATGAGGGGCAGTAGCTCCCAGCCCGGCCAGGAGGGGAGGGGAGGCTGCTTTCTGGGGTCTCAGGCAGAGAAAAGCCCCCGGCCCGGCCGGCGGGGCTCAGGGGCTGAGCGTCCACCTAGGAACCAGGAAGTCACGGTTGGATTCCCGGTCAGGGCACAGGCCCGGGTTGTGGGCTCGATCCCCAGTGTGGGGCGTGCAGGAGGCAGCCGATCCATGATTCTCTCTCATCATTGATGCTTCTATCTCTCTCCCTCCCCCTTCCTCTCTGAAATCAATAAAATAAAATCTATTAAATAAATAAAAAAGAAACAAAGAAAAGCCCGCATCTGCTCAGAGGCGGCGCTCGGGGTCAGGGGGCAGCCCCCCGGGGCCGGGCACCTCTCTCCAGCGACTTGTCCTCCGTGGCCAGGGCTCGGCGTCCTGGGAGCCCGGGCGCCCGCTGCCCCACGCGGCGGCAGGGAGCGACTGTCTCGGGAACCCGAGCCCGTGTGCGGGGAACTTTTCCAGCTTCCCCCGAGGCGCACGCGGTGGATGCGCGAGGGAGACACGCGTGCCCACGGGACAGAACCGGGTGACGGTCAGGAGGCAGGGACGTCAGGCGTGGACAGAGGTAGCCGGGCCCGGCCCCAGGACCCGCCGAGCCCTGCGCCTCCCTCTCCCCGAGCGCACTGGCCAGGCCTCCCCCTCGGACATGCTGGCACCGGTGTCAAAGCCGTGCCCGTCACCGCCGCCCTTGGGAGACGGAAACTTCCCCGCAGGCACCGCGCTCTGCGGGCGTGAGTCTAAGCCACAGACCGAACGCGCGCGTGTGATTGTGTGTGTGATTGTGTGGGCACGCGTGTGTGATTGTGTGTGCGTGTGCGTGTGCATGTGCGTATGTGTGTTTGAAAGCGCCGAGGAGCGCAAGCGGTGCTGCTGCTGCTGGCAACACAGTTGAAAACCTCCCCGGGACTCAGCCTGCGAGGTGCCACGCGACACCCCAGCGCCCCACATCCACCAAGGCCTACCTGGAACTCGGGGCGGGGCTCCCAGCACCCCAGGGAGGAGAAGCCCAGGGCGGAGGCTGGGGAGCTGTAACGGAAGCCGGTCCTGCTGGCCGGGGACGGAGTGGGGGTGCGGCCCCGTGGGCGCGGGGCGGGGGCTGCGGAGCTTACCCTCCAGGCCGGGCGGCGCGGTCCCCAGCGAGTAGGCGCCCTCCTTCACGTGCAGCAGCAGCTCTTCCCCCGGCCCGATGTCCTTGATGACTTTATAGTAGATCTGGGGGGAGAGCAGAGAGAGGGTGAGCGGTGGCCCGGAGAGCCGCGGAGTGCGCCGGCCTCGCCCGGGCACTCGCTGGGAGCCGTGGGGCCTGCTAACCGCCAGGAGCCCCCGGAGCCGCGCCCCCTTCGCATCCGTGGGGCCCAGTGTTTGGATGTCGATAGGGGTGGGGTGGGTGCAAAATTAAATCCGTGAGGGTCTGTCCCCCGAGTCCTGAGCAGGAGCATCTTGGCAGGAGGGCCAGGATGGGGGCTCCCACCCGGCAGGGCCTGGCTGCTCCCCTTTGCAACGTGTGTGAGTCAGGGAGACAGCCTTTGGCTCACGCAGGCAATGGGTCAGGATGACGTGGGTGTCTGTGAAGGTGCTGTGAGCTCGGACAGGGACCGGGGTGGGGGCACCCCGGCAGTCTCTGTGGGAGTGGACACCGTCCTGCAGGGCGTGGGGGGGCCTGCCGCCAGCATGGAGCCAGCGGCCGCCAGGGGTCTGAGCGGGGGACATCCCTGAGAATGCGGGGGTGCAGGGTGGGTTCTGCGCTGTGTCAGGGGGCCAGCTCGGCACGCCCAGCCTCAGCGCTCTGCACGGCGGACGTGCCCGGAGCTCGTCAACGTGCCTCCCGAAGAGGACCTGCCGCACCGGAGGCGGCGGCCACGGCTGGGAAAATTCTGGCAACTCGAAGGGCAGCATGGAGGGGGCATCTGGGACGAGCCCAGGAACAGCGGCTCCGAAGCTGAGGCCAGGGGCTGCACCTTTAATCCGGAAGCATCAGCCAGCGGGTGCGTCTCCCGGGCAAGCCCACTGCCCGCTGCCCGCTGCCCGCCGCCCGCCGCCCGCGTGGGGTGTTCGGGCCTCGGCCTGGAGAACCGTAACCAAGGGGCTCCAGGAGCCTTGGTCCGGCCTTGGGACAGACTGGGAGGCAGAGAAGGACCCAGGGCAGCATCTGCCCAGAGACCAGGCTGGAGGCTACTTCCTGGGATCCCCCCGAGGCCAGCACAGGGCCTGGGGACAGGTATCCAGCTGGCTTCCGAGCGGCCGCTGACCACGGGTCAGGTGTCCCAGAGGCTGAGCTGACCCCTGGCTGTCCCCTCTCCACCCCCCGCCCTGGTGACATCTGAAGGCTGAGCTTCCGGGAGCTGGAGGACCCCTGGGGACTCTCCCTCACAAAGGGCCAGTGCCAACCCCACAACCACAGCAAGGAACCCGCAGAAGGAGGTGCCCTTAGCCGCACTGCGTCCTGTGTCCCCCTGGGTGCTGTCCCCAGGACAGCGGGCTACACCCCGCGAAGAAACCTGCCGGACACGGTCCCCTGGGGATGAGCCCCTCCCTGGGCGCACGGTCGCTGCATTTGGAATCATGTTCAGGTGCGTCCGTAGAATAACGGCAAGATTTTAAAATGAAGACTCACGCCGACCACGTGAGTGGTCGTACTTAAACCACCGTGATTAACATCCCGGGTTTGTGTCATTTTATCCAAAAAGTTACACCGTGGCTGAGCCGTTTTTTCAATCATCAGCTTCGAGCCGTTGTTTCTCGCCCGGGGCGCTGCGTCGGGTTATTAACACAAAGGGCCGGTCCTCTTTCACCCCCAGCGGTGGCGGCGTCAGAGCGCACAGCGAGCGCAGGTTTAGGCCGCCCCGAGCCCCGCGCCACCAGCGCCCACATGCAGGCTGGAGAGGCCCCTGCTTAGAGGAGGCCCTGCAGCCAGACCGGAGGCTTCCGCAGGTCCCCGTTAGGGGGCAATGGGGCCCCGCCCGCAACCCCTCCTGCCCCGTGGGGGCCCCGCCGCTCCAGGCCTCGCTCTGACCTGGCTGTCTGTGCGCGCAGCTCCAGGGCGGCCGTGTCCTCTGAGGGCCGGGCTGTTGGGCTCCTGCTACAGCCGGGGCCGGAGGGGCTGGGCGCGGTGCCTCCCTCCTCTGACCCCCTCGGAGGGCCAGCCGGCCTCCCAGGACCCTCCCCCAACACTGCACCTCCTCTTGGGGGGCCCCTGCCTCTCCCAGGACCCACACCCCAGCTGCTAGGGCGGCCGTACTTCCTCCTCCGAACCCCTCGGAGGGCCGCGGGGACCTCCTGGGACACCCCCAGCCCCGTACTCAAAGTTCCCCGGTCCCCGCCCCACACAGCCCTCCCAGCTCCCAGGGCTGCTGGACCCCTTGGGATCCTTCCGCACCCACAGCCCCAATCCCAGGGCCTCGGGACTCCCTCCTCTGACGCCTTCCAAGGCTGCCTGGCCTCCCAGGAGACCGACCCTCCCCTGAGCTGCGGAGGGAGGGAGGGTCCAGCCTGGGCCCTGGGACCAGTTTGCAGGCCACGCAGTTGCCCCCTCCCAGGCTGCGGACCCACAGGACCCGCCCGCCCCGCATCTGGCGGGGGCGCAGGCTCAGGACGGGAGGCGGCGGGGCCGGTAGCCGAGGCCGCCTGGACTTTGAGCTGCAGACGGAATTAATCGCTATTAGCGCTAATCGCAGTGCCTGGGCGGGCGGGGCGCGTGGGTGTGGGGGCACCATCACCTCCACCTGGAGGAGGGGGCGGGGAGGTGAAGAGGGTCTGAAAACGTTTCCAAATCCGGGGGTCCTGCCTCCCGGGGCATGGCGGGTGCGCAGAAGCCCGCACAGAAGCCAGGGGTTTTCCCCTCGCGCCTCCAGCGGCACCCAGGCCTTATCAGCCAGAGGCGGGCAAAGACCTGGTTCCTGGTTCCCGGGGGTCGGCCACTTCCCGGGAGGAAGGCCAGGCTCAGTGGCTCCCAGGTCGGCAAAGGCACCTCTGGGGTCGAGCCCCTGTTCTGAGCTGGCCCTGCCCCTGGGGCCCATAGCAGCCCCTTGAAAATCCGAGGTCGGCTTATCGCCGTCTGCCCCTCGGCCCCTCACACCCAGGGCGGGGCCATCCACCCGGCTCAGGCCGAGCCAGGAGTCTCCACAGGAGGAGAGAGGCGGCCCTTTTCTGGCAGCGGAGCCGCAGGAAGGAAACGCGTGTTTTGTTTCAGGGATGGCGTGCAAGGACCTGCGCCTTTCCCCGAACAGACCTTCTCCGGCCCCGTCCGTGGAGCTGGTGGCTGCAGGGTGGCCCTTCCCTGGTCCCAGATCCGGGCGGTGCCGGCTGTGCCCACAGCTGGTTCACTGGCGCCGATCAATGTCCGCCTACATGGCTTTCCACACGGGCTTGCCAAGCGGGCTGCTCGGAGTGAGTCCTCGCTTCAGGGGCCCAGGCTCTCCAACGGCCAGGACCTCGCCGGACAGGGGCAGCCAGGCGGGCGCTGGGACTTGCTCGGCGTGGCCCTGACGGGGAGCCTCCCCGTCGCCCTCCAGAGGCGCCCCTGCAGGGCGGGGAGTGCGGACACACGGTGGCCAGGGCCTCAGCGAAAGGAGCTGCCGGAGGAGCTGGGCTCGGCGCCGGCCACGCTCAGTCCCCGCCGGTAGCACATGAACGTCTGTTTCCCCCAGCGACGTCCTTTAAGACCAAGACACGCTCCCCCCTTATCACGGCGGCCAGTTGGGGTACTCTCTCCTTTCGGTTTCTTAAGGGGTTTTTTTTGTTTGTTTTTGTTTTAAATATCACACGAATTCGCAAGGATAAAGACTGTCTTCTCATGTGAAGCTGGAGAACAGTACCCGCTAACACTTAAGCCCCACAGGTTTTATTTCTGCGTGATCTTAGAATTCTTACACTTACGGGACGCAGGCCCGGCCAGCACGGGACCCGGCGCGGGACGCAGGCGGCAGCCGGCGCCGTCCCTGCCGGGAACACACGGTTTTCTCAGAAACAGGAAAGTGAGCAGGTGACCGGCCGACCCTGCCCCCTCCTTTCGACCAGTTTGGAGACGGTAAGGGGGCGTTTGGATGCAGAGCTGCAGCCGCTTTCGCTGCTTCTCTGTAAACGGCCACGGCTCTCCCTCCCGGATTTGAAGTCCAAAGGCCTCTGAGAGGTGCCGAGGGCCGTCGGAGCCCCCCCCCCCCCCCCCCGGGAGCTGCTGGAGCCACTCACCCAGCGGCCGGCCGCCTCCCGGGGGGGCCTTCCTGGGACGACGGGGTCTGAGGCGATGCCTGGGCATCTTTTTTTTTTTTCCTCTCTCGGGGACGCTGAGGGGGCCATGGGTGCCTGTGCTGCCTTGTGGCCCCAGGACCCTGGGAGTGTCACTGCGTCTCCACGATTCGCTGTCCCCAAGGTAGGGCATCTCGCGCTGGGACGCCGTGGACACGGGAGCCCTGCAGGGCTGAGGGGCTGAGCACGTGAGCTTAGACAGCAGCTCCGCCCGTGTCGGGCCCCTGGCCTGGCCTGGCCTGCTTGCCGCTTCCTCAGGGCCCAGCAAGGGGACAGCAGTTCTGGGTTCGGCCCATCCACAGGCTCAGGGGTGTGCAGACACCTCCCTCTGCCGGGGAGGAGGCTGCTGCCTGGGACTCGCGGGGCCTCTCTCCTGTGCGCGGCGAAGGCCACGCGCGCCTCCGTCTTTACATTGTGCCGCATGCCTTCGCCGCCTGCCCCGCAGCTCCACCAGGAAACTGGGCTGCACGCGCCTCAGGCAGTGTGGGCCTGCGGTTAATTCTCCCTCTGGATTCTGGGTCCCAGGGAAGCCGCTCATCATCCTTAAGGGCCAGTGGAGACCGCGGCGGGGACCGCCCGGTGGCTGGCGGGGTTTCTCGCCGCCGTTTGGCCGGACAGAGGGTCGCTTTGCTCCGGAGGCGCAGCGAGCGGACAGCTCTCCGACTGGAACGAACGGGCGCGTGTCTTCAGTCTTTTGTGAACTGATCAGGAAACGCGGAAATGAACCCCTGCCCTCTCGCTTCCAAACGGAAAACCAGTTCACTCCAGCTTTTACTGTATCAAACCCAGGGGGGGACTGCCAGGCAGAGGGGCTGTCCCTGCGCCAGGCGGGGCGGGGACGGGGGCCAGGGCCTGCGGCTAGAATCCCAGCCCCAGCAGACCGCGGCGTCCACGCTGGGCAACAGAAACGAAAGCAAAAGAGCAGCGCCCGGTGCCAACGGCAGGAAGCAGCGGGTTCGCATTAGCGCCGGCGCTGGCCCGTGCGTGCGGCGTGGCTATCGGGCGGCCGATCTGCTAGGAGCTGCCTTTGTCTGACGGGAGGAGGAGGTCGGCCCGTCTGCTTCCACTTTGGGGAGGCCGACCCCTGCTCCGCCGGAGCCCCTCGCCCGGCCCCGAACAGGCTGCTGACGTGGGTGTTCCTGCCGCCCGGCCCGCCCTGGGGGGTCCCCTGCCCCGAGCCCTGCACCCCAACATGTGTGTGACCCTGGCAGCATCCTCAGCGCCGTGGCCCCATGCCACCTCGCCACCAACACCCCTGCCTGTTGAGGGGCCTCTCGGAGCCACGGGGACTGAGTGGAGGGTCCCTGGCAAAGAGGAGACGCCAGAGGCAGGGCTGGTCCCACAGCCACCGGACCCAGCGCCCCGAGGAGACGGCCGTTCAGGTGGACCCGAGGCCGGCGCTGCCCGGAAGGAGGGGTTGGGGCCTCCGTGTGGGCATCTCCGTGTGGGCCTCCGTGTGGGCACTCCGTGTGGGCACTCCATGGCAGGGAGGACGCTGGGTGCAGGAGCTCGAGTTCTTCCGAGTGCGGCTCACTGTCTCCCTGGGGCAGGGGCTGGGTGGGCGGGGAGGGGACGGGCAGAGGTCCCAGGAGGCTCCAGGGGGTACGAGGCCTGGCCCCGGACGCAGTGCAGTGTCGGGGTCTGGGTCCCCCGAGTGCCGAGGACATGAGCTGCAAAGTCACTCACTGCCCAGAGCCCGTGGGGGCCCAGAAGCCTGGCTGCCAGCAGAGGCCCCGTGGGCGGAGGGAGCCGGGGCGCCCGGGGACACCAGGAAGCTCCGTGGGCCGAGGAGGTGCAGGGCAGGCAGAGGGCTCCCCTCCCCGTCGGGGCGGAGGGCTGACGAGCTCGGTCGGGTGCCACCGGCCTCTGCCTTTGCCTCAACGCCCCCCACACGCCCCCGAGCTCCTGCACCGAAACAGGACGGGTACCGCGAGGCCGTGTCCGGGAGAAACAGCCCGAAGGAGCCTGGCGCTGTGCGGGTGACACTCCGCCGGTGCAGCTACAGGGCCAGGCGCGTTGCTGCGCGGGGGACAGCACTTTTGAGCAGAGACACGCGGGGATGAGCGTGGGGCCAAATGAAGGATGGGGGGGTGGGGGGGAGCCCTCAGTCCCCGGTCTGACGGAAAGGCGGGCAAGGCAGTCAACCCCCTTTAGACGCTGCAGACGCGACGTGGAGCGGAAGCCAAGCTCCCCGAGCCGTTCCCAGGGAAAGACGCGGCCACGCGGAGGGTCAGCCACCTGTGGGCTTTTCCAAGTCGGCGCAGACAGATGCCCGCTCTCCTGCTTCCCGCGGGGCCCCGCGTGCCCGCCACTGTTTCCCAAACGGGAAACCCAGAAGCTCCGTCTTCCCTTCTCTCTGTCTCAGAAGCACAGCCTGGCCGCTGCCCCGGGCGTGAGGGCCAGAGCCAAGGACACGCTCCCCAGACAAAGGCGAGAAGCCCGTTCCCCCTGTGTGCCCTGATCTAACGCCTCCGCTCCAACGCCCCGCCATCTCCAATGAAAGGGTTTCTGGCCCGGCCGCCGTGGCTCAGGGCTGAGCGTCGACCCGTGAACCAGGAGGTGACAGTTCGATCCCCAGTCAGGGCACAGGCCCGGGTTGTGGGCTCCATCCCCAGTGTGGGGCGTGCAGGAGGCAGCCGATCCATGATTCTCTCTCATCAGTGATGTTTCTCTCTCCCTCTCCCTCTCCCTCTCCCTTCCTCTCTGAAATCAATAAAAATTTTTTTAAAAAAGAAAGTTTTTTTTTTTCAAGTTTTGTTCTCCCTTTTATGATTATTCTTTGCTTTATATGGGAACTTTTTTTTTGCCACCAGAATAAGTTCTTTTCTAAATGTCAGGTTCTAACTAAAAGCCGTGCACGTCCTGGGAGCAGAGGCGGACTCGAGCCTCAGGGTGTGCTCAGGGCCTGCTGGGTGCGGGTGAGCCCCGCCGGGGCCCTGAGGGGTGAGGGAGTCGCCCCCAGCCCGGGGAGGGGGGACCGCCCTGGTGGCGGCTCTGCCTTTATTAATCCCAAACCCTTTCTCTACCACGGGGAGCCTGACGGAACGGCTTGCACAGGCCATGCGGGAAGGCGCCTGTGTCATGTGGTCTCTGCTAACATTTTTGAAAGCGATGGAATCCCTTTTGCAAGTGAGGTCTCCTGTGTGACCCCAAGATGCCGTCGGCAAAAGCAAACGGCTCGGAGGGAGGGGCTGGGCCTCCGGCTCCCAGGAACCCCGTGTTTAGGGAAGACAGCGGGAACATGGCCCAGGGGCCGGCTCCCGTGCGGAGAGCCAAGAGGTCGGCCACTTGCAAACTTGTGATTAAAGCCATCGAAGCCGCTCCCGGCATGGGGCCACGCTGCCTTCCTGTCCACAGAAACTCCACCCAGCACCTTCCATCCTGGTCCGCCCGTGGGTCGGGATGCCCGCCGCCCAGGGCGGCCCCGACACCCAGGGGATGAGTCCCTGCTGCAGGCTGGGCCTGCCGCCACCGCGGGTCTCAGGGCGGCAGGACCGCGGCAGCCTTCCGGCTGGTCAGCGGCAACCCTTCCCCAGGGCCTGGCCACACAGCCCAGGCTGACCCGATTCTCCAGTGACAGTTCTGCTCCCCGCCTCCCGCCTGCCTCCTGGGCGGGGGCACCCGTCGGGAATGAGGCCCGCAGCATCCTGTCTGCTCGCTGCTCCGCTGCACGCACCGGCCTCGTTAGCCCCCAGGCCTGGCGGCCTCGGGAGGCACTGACCCAGGGCCTGGGGGAGCCCATGAGGTGGTGCCGCGCTCCCTGAAACCCTGCGCCGACCGTGTCAAACCCCCACGCAGGACGGGGCCTGGCAGAGGTCCCTGGACCCTGTACCTTGGCCCCCCAGGCCTCTCGCCTCATTGCCAAGGCCCCGGCAGGGTCAGAGGTCAGGGGGCCCTTTACCTTGGCCCCCCAGGCCTCTCGCCTCATTGCCAAGGCCCTGGCAGGGTCAGAGGTCAGGGGGCCCTTCACCTGACACCCCAGGCCTCTCGCCTCATTGCCAAGGCCCCGGCAGGGTCAGAGGTCAGAGGACCCTTCCCCTCGGCAACCCAGGCCTCTTGCCTTGGTGCCAAGGCCCCGGCAGGGTCAGAGGTCAGGGGTCCCTGGGCATGAGCCGCGACCTACCTGTTCGTTGATCTGACACATGGTGAGGTTCTGGTCATCGCAGGAGCAGGCCACACGGATGTACTTGAGCCAGCTGCCCGCCCCCGCCTGCCCGGCGTCCACGCAGAACTTCTCGCCGCCCAGGTCTTCGGAGACCTGCCCGGGAAGGAAGAAACGGAGCGGGTCAGAGGCGCCCTCCATGAGACACGCGGCCGGGCCCGGAGCGGCAGGCGCTCAGCACCCGGGCATGCGAGCGAGCCCTCGGCCCACAGCCGCCTGCCAACAGCCCCGGTGCCAGGGAGGGGGCCTCTCTCTCACCGAGCAGCTCACTGGCCGGCGTGGAAGCTGCCACCCGCCCTGTGACGCCCCCAGCAGAGCGCCCACGTGTGAAACCCGAGGCCGCTCTCGGAGGTAAAGGTGTTGGGTGTGTGGCCGCATGCGAACCGGGTGTGCACACGCTCACACCCGCGTGCACCTCACCCTGCAAGTCAGAAAGACTAAATGTTCTTCTGAAACGTGGAAAGTTTCATCTGACACGGTGGCCGCCCCCCGCGCAGCCTCTCGCACCCGCAGCCTCTCACACCCGCAGCCTCTCACACCCGCAGCCACGGCTCCTCTGGCCACGGTTCCCTGACTGGCTCTGGCCGGCGACACCTTCATGCAGAGACCTGACTGTCCAGCTCAGAGAGGGTCGCCTCACTTTGGTGGACCTGCGGGGAGCCTCAGGCTGGGTGCCCCCGACCCCCACCTGCTCCGTCCATTGCCTCTGGGGGACCAGCCAGAGCCGTGGATGGGGCAGCATCCGGGCCAACCTCGGGGCAGCCCAGCCGGATACAGGGATTGGGGGAGCTGAGGCCACATTCACCCTGAGGTCCTGATGGGCAGGGGTGTCTGGCTGGGCAGGTGATGGGAGCAGAAGGGCCCAGGGAAGCCAGGGCGGGGGGCAGGAGGGGGTGACTGCCCAGTGCAGACAGAGGCGGCTCTGGGTCCCATGGCCTCTACGCCCCGCGGATCTGCTGAGTGCGTTAATGAAGGGAGAGGAGCTGGGAGGGAGGAGCTGCCCTGAGGCCGGAGCATCGGTGCTTCGTAAACATTCCTGTGGCCCCCATGTGTCCCAGACACTTCCTAACGGCCAAGGGCCCCCCAAGTGTCCCAGACACTTCCTAACGGCCAGGGGCCCCCCAAGTGTCCCAGACACTTCCTAACGGCCAAGGGCCCCCCAAGTGTCCCAGACACTTCCTATTGGCCAAGGGCCCCCCAAGTGTCCCAGACACTTCCCACACGGCCAAGGGCCCCCCAAGTGTCCCAGACACTTCCCGCCTGGCCAAGGGCCCCCCAAGGGATGGGGCAGCTGCTTTGCTGTGGGGGACACAGCGCCTGCCTCTAGTCTGTCTGTGCGTCCGCACCCATGGCCCTTGGGGAGCCCGTGGCGGCCCCTCCTCTGAATGACCAGTGTCCGAGCGACATGCAGGGGCCCAGCGCTGCTGACACCTCCGTGGGCTGAGCTGGGAAGCGGTGTGAGCTGGGGCCTCCGCTCGGAGAACTCTCCATTTTGGGGGGACTTTAAGCAAATGGGCCTAATTCTGAAAAAGAGGAGAGAAACCAGAGGGTCTGGGCAGGGTGGAGACACGAGACGGTAGGCGGGAACAGGTGGGCACAGGGAGGGCGGGCACAGGTGGGCACATGGAGGGTGGGCACATGGATGGCGGGCATAGATGGGCACAGGGAGGGTGGGCAGTGTGGCAGCGGGGCTCCTGTCTCTGTCCCAGCTTCCAGTCCTCACCATGGCAGCCCAGTCCCTGAAAGACTAGGGAAAGGGGGCGTGGCCTGCGGTGCCAGGTGAGGCCTCTGTGGGCGGCTGTGGGGGGAGCACAGGCCCATGAGAAGGGCCCCTCCTCCCACCTCCCACCCCAACTGCAGGAAACCCGCCGAAAAGACCCCACACGAAGCCTGCGGTGGTGGCACCTCCCGGAGCGAGGCCGCCCCTCCCCCGCCTTCCTCTGTTACAGGAAGAAGAGGGGCAGGCGGGGGGTGGGTGGGCTGGGGTTCCCTGCGGCCCCCACCCCGCAGGGTGTGCACGCAACTGGCAGGGACGGCGTCTCTGTCTCCCTCTGTGCGTGTCCCCTTCTCTCTCTCTCTGTGTCTCTCTGTCACCCGCCCCCCAGCCCCATCGGTGGCTCAGAGCCGGGCCTGCCAGCTCTGGGGTCCAGCTGGCTCAGGTGACCCCTCACCCTGACCCCCAGGGCCTGGTGCCTGGTGCCCGGAGTCAGCACTGGAGGGAGAGCCATGTAACTAACCAACGAACGAACGAATGAACTACTGTTCTACGTGCTTAAAGCTCCTCTCCATCCAGCTTGCACGTATGAGTGCTCATGTGTGCACGTGTGTGCATGTGTGTGCATGTGTATACGTGTATGTGGCTGTGGGGCACCCACTCTGCTTTGGGAAAAGACTGACCTGCTGCCTGCGGGATGGGCCCCAGGCGGCCCGCGGCCCCGCCGCCTCCACCAACCACCTTCCCCACCTTCCAGGGTCCGCTCTCCGTCTCCCTCTGCACATCCCGGTGGGGCCGGGCCTGCGCCAGCCCTGTGCCAGGATGCGGCATCACAGGCAGCCCCTAGGCAGGTGCCCTGGGCCCGGACGCTGCGCTGGGCCCCGCAGACTTGCTCCCCAGGAGCCTCCATCTGCTGTGGTGACAGGGCCCCGAGTGGGACCAGGGCGCCTCTGCTGTCCCCCTGCCCTCTGTCACCCCGAGAGCCCACTTGACCCTCTAGGTCCTCAGAGGGCTTGTTCTGGTGGGAGGTGAGGTACAGCCCCAGAGGCCGAGGGCAGGGATGGCTGGAAGGTTCTGGGCTCACCCACCTGACCCCACGCCCACACCGACGCCTTCCTAACGTGTATGAGCCAGTCATACCCGCGGGCACAGGGACCCCGCCGCCTGTACCCAACAGCCAGGTCTACCGTTGACCCTGATGCAACCTGGAAGAACAGGCCCCGCCTTCCAGAAACTTCCGCCCTCCGCCCTTGTAGAACCAGCCCCTCTTTTCCAGGAGACGCCCTGCAGGCCTTTGTCCCTGACCCAGGCGCTCCTGGCCCTCGTGGTGCTGGGCACATGTCCCGGCTCGCGCACAGGTGTCTGAACAGGACATGGCTGGCCGCTCGCCCCTCGGGACGCTGTGCGGGGCCTTCAGTCTGTCCCTGCCCCTCTCGGGGTGCAGGGCCTGGGCTCGGGGGCCACAGTCTCCTGGCGCTCCCCAACCTGGTGTCCAGTGTGCCCCCCTCTCTGGCCAGCAGCCACCCTCTCCTGGTCACTCTGGGGCATGTCCCTCCTCCTTAATCCAGAAACCCCGTCCCCGCCCTGACCCGGCGCCTGGCCACTGGGTGGCACTCACTTCCTGGTGGCCCCAAAAGGTCAGAGGCGGCCCCTCCTCCCAGGGCGCCTGGCTGGCTTCCGGGGCGACAGAGCAGGACTTGGCTAACCCTTTCCCTCTAAAGAGATGAAACTGCTTCTGAGAGGCGCCAGGAGGAGCCGCCCCGTCCTCCAGTCCCTCCCCGCATGCAGCATCCGCGCCCCCGCCCCCGCCTGACCCGGGTCTGAATCTTGGCTCGGGCTGTGGGGCCGGCCCCGGGAGTCCCAGCGCCCCCAGAGGAAGCTGCCCTGATGCCCACTGCGCCCACTCAGCCTCGCAGACCCCCTGTCCTCGTCCCTGCCAGCTCCCCAGCTGGTGCACCTCCCCCCCGCCCCCATCAGAAATGCCGCCTGGGAAGCAAGGGACGGAGAACCTTCCAGTGGTTTGCACATCGTTCGAGGTTTCCTGCGCTTCTAATGTGTGGGCTCTGCCGGGTGGCTCTCTCCTGCTCATGGGCACGGCCTGCCGAGGCCCTTCGGGGGCGAGCGCGCAGGTGGGGTGCCAGGCCGCCGTCCTCGCTGGCCTAATGGGTCTGAGCGAGCAGGACGGCGCCCCAGGCTGCCCTCGGTGCCCAGGCCCTGCTGCTGTAACACAGCTCCCCTGGCATAGCGCCCACCCCCCAACCGGTGGGCACCAGGGCGGGCCTCCTCCTGCCCCTGCCCCTGCCCCTGCCCTTGCCCCTGCCCCTGCCCCTGCCCCTTCTTTAAGGACCAGTAAGCTGTTTCCAGCCCCAGCCCAGCCCCAGAGCCCGGTGTGTGTGGTGGGCGTGCACGTGCACACCCTGCGGCAATTCACGGCCTCTGTGAGCGCCATTCTGTCGGGAGGGGGCGGAGGGCGCTCCGGAAGCCCCTCCATCGTGCGGGCAGGCCCAGAACCAGCTCAGAGATCCCATCCCCTCCGACTCTCACTAGCTCATTGTGGCTCAGCTCAGCTCAGGGATGAGACGACCGGGCGCTACCCCCCAAAGGCGACTGGTGTGAGGGGTCACGGGGCAGACGGGCGTCCAGGCGGCAGGTCAGGGCCTGGGCCCACCTGCTCCGTGTGGGAGGGAGGCGGGGGGACGGGGCGGTGAGCAAGGGGGCGGCTTCTGGGACAGGGAGGGCAGCCAGGTGGAGGCAGCCCTCCCCGAGCTCATGAGGAGAGAGGGGTGGAGAGCCGTGCTTCCTGGGGCGTGTGGGGCCCCTCATCCCCAGGGACCAGCTCCAGGCCAGGGGTGCGTGACCCGGGCATAAGGACCAGGGTCCGTTGGTTTCAGGGACCCCAGAGCCCAGCCCGCGAGAGGAGGCTGCAGGCGCCCGGCAGGGAATGCTGACGCTGCCGAAGGCCGAGGCCCCAAGTCCGCAGCTAGGGGCCCCGCTCCTGCGCTAATGATGCCAGACCCCGAAACCGCCTCTGCTGTCCCGGGGGGCGGGCGCATTGAGGGCCTGAGGAAAGTCATGGACCGCAAACTGTTCAGGTAAAAGGCGACGCGAACCCCCGTGGGAAGGTCTCTGTCCCCCAATACTCAGGCAGCCGGGGCCACGGAGCCTCCTGGGGCTCACAGATCAGTTCCCCCAAATACCCTGACACGTGGGGGTTGCGGCGCTGCCGGGGTGCATGGCCTGGGCGTCCCCAGGAGCCTGGATCCCAGGCTCAGCCCAGCACCACCGCTGCCTCTCGGCTCGGACGCCTTCCCTGCCTCCTCCCCGCCCACCTGCCCCTTATTCTCCTCCCTCCCTCTCGCCTCCCTGGCCCAGGGGCTGCAGG